AAAAAAAAAAAAAAAAAGAACCATTCGAAGCACAAACTGAACCAAGGCTGGGTTCAAATGCAACTTTAATATTATTTAGTATTCCATTAAAAAAATGTCACATGTGAACCTTACCTAAGGTTCTGCCATAGCTATCTATTATTAAGTTAGAAAAATTTGGTTGAAAAATTTATCAAGTTTAAGTTACATGTGGTTGAATATTAATGATCTTATCACAAGAACAAATTGAAAAATAAAAGTACAAAAATAAAACAACCAAATTTTGCTAACAGCTTCCTAATGTTAACCAATCAAATGAAAGGTGTCACACTAGAAAGTCTTACTACTCAAGTGAAATCTTACCTTGAGTATCCCTGTGAGCTCCAACCGCTTCCTGTGCAGACATGAAAACTTCATCAGTTTGGTTTCCTGCCATGGGCCATTGACCAAAACCTGTTAGATAATCACATTAATAACATAAATAAAAAAGAAAATAATAATAAATATATATATATATATATATATATATATTTATTATTATTTTCTTTTTTATTTATGTTATTAATGTGATTATCTAACAGGTTTTGGTCAATGGCCCATGGCAGGAAACCAAACTNTATATATATATATATATACATACTTTGGTTTGAATTGTCATGTGATGGGCCAGCTCTTGACATATCCATACTATTTTCCATATCATCATCATCATCAAGCGTCAAGTCTTCTATACTATCCTCGTTGTTCATTTCTTCCATGTACTCAGTCTTAGGTTCAATCAGTTCACTAGTCGGTTCGATCTTTGGTCCCGCAACACCTTCAGCAGCTGATGTGTCATGGTTATTGACGCGGCTGTTATCAGTCTCATGATCACCGTCATCTAACGGCGCACCTTTGGTGATGGTGGCAGGAATGTTAGGAACACCGACGCCACTAAGGGCTCCGGACTGAAGGGGCGGTACATCACAGGAATTGCTTGTGTCAACATGACTGTCAGGATCATCACTAGTGGATGGCCTACGTTGGTTTCTTCTACGTTTCCTTGGTGTAGGAGAAGCACTATCATCACGTGACCTAATATGTGGACTTTCAGGCCTCCTTTCTATCGTCAAACCCTGTGTTGATGCGGATGGGCCGCGTGTGACGGATTGTTGAACTGGTTTTCTAACTGGGTTGCTCACAGGAGCTTTGGCAGGAGCTGATGAAGGGGTGCTATTATCTTCATTACCACCACCATCAGTCAGACCCTTGATTTGTAGAGACTCTGCCGCTTTCAGGAACGTGCTCAGTTGGTCTTGGGAAATATTCACTTCCCCCCTGTACATGTAATCCATCATACTTTTCAGTTCTTGAAATTTAACATCTTTCAATATGACTATAGGATGTTTTTCATAATGCTGACTTAACAGTAACTGTAAAGTTAAATATATTTTTATAACTATGAATTAATTATTATTTTAATATGCATATTATTAATAAACAGTGTCACACTATAATTTTCTATTTTTAATATAAATTTATGTAGTCAAATTTGTAAATTATAGTAGGGGAGACCTGAACATATGTATATGTTCACTATATATTAATTGAACTAAAAGATTAACTGAAATAAATATGTTCTATTAAAATTCAATAATGAACATCTTACCATTATGGTATATAAATTAATAATAGCATAATGCTAACCTAGTGTATAAAACAACAGAAAATAAACAAAATACAACCCTACACAATATCAAATTTAAAATGAATAGAATAAGAAAACATACAAACAATTAATATTATACACTATATAGAACTAAACAAATGAATTAAACATTATATAGATTCATTTTTGAATTACTACAAAATTTTTCATATATCAAGAGAAAATCAAATGAGAATTGCAAGGAAATTATTTATGAATTGAAGAATAACTAATTAAAATACTTCTACAGTAAATGGACATGGTTGAAAAACTTTAGTAATGTTAAGCAACATCATTAAAATACATATAATTTCAATACCAATAATAAGAGTAGTATGTTATATAAATCAAAGACCCATCAAATGTCATAATAGTAGTCTACTAAAAGGTCACAAAAATACTCTACTATAGCCGATATATATGAAACGAATACAAGACATGTTAAATTATATAACTGTTTAAAACAAGATTAAAGTCTGATTAGAACTATTCGAGGATTTTATTAACTCATGGATTTATAACAACACGTTAAATAATAAAACTATGAAATTCGAATTAGAATTATTTATTACCTCTAAGTAAGGACTACACGCCGACAAGACAACCTTGTGCGCTTTTAAGTATTGTCCCTCGGCTGCCAACGTACAATCGACCAAGGTACCGCTTTCTAGCAATGTATCGAACACGCTTATCAACGTGCTCTGGTGGTTATTCCAGCGCAGACAAAAATGTTGGTTGTCTCCCGCCATATTATATCACAGTCCTAAAAATTTAACACGAATTATAAAAAGAACGTACACATAAAAAAATATATATAATTCACTAAGAAATAATCTCACCTTATAATTTATTCATTTACAAAGTTGTTGTTTAAAATAAAAATAAAAAAAGAGAAAATTTAACGCTTGTCTTTAATACTGATTAGTTTAAAATTTGTCAAGGCATGAAAACAAACGTTGCGTCAACGTTAAATAATAAAAAAAAAATTTGTTATAAACAATTAACGAATAATACTCGATGAGTCGTGTATGATGAGCGACTGAGAAATGTATATGTATAAAAGGCGAGTGATAGCGGCGGGGGGTTTTTAATGCAATACGAGCACGACCGTCCGGCTTCACATCAAGTACGAAACAAAGCAAATGGCGGAGCCGCGTCCGGGTCTGCCGTAATGATGTCTTGCGCAGAACACATGTTTGAATGTAATGCGCACAGTTCGTCGGCCACCATTCGACGACCTGCTGCAGGCTTCGTGTTCTGTGACGAAAACCCTTGAGTAGATGTAATGAAATAATATAATTTTATAAGTAAAAAAACCTTAAATCAAGTAGTATTTAAATTTAAAAACAATATTTTTGATTCTTTTTATGCTTAAAAAAACAAATATTACACAAAATCAGTTTATTGTCGAAAAATTTCTCGGGCATGATATTCGTCGTTTTTTCTCAGCAATAGTCTTTAATTTAAGAACAGAACACGGAACCTGGTCCGGGCGTGGTTCAGGCAGCTGCAAGTAAGCCGGCCGGCCGATCGACGCCAACCGTTGATGTTCGGCAAGGGGCCGTTGTTTACAGGTTGACGACGATGTTCGGCAACGGGCCCTAAACCGCCTAAAACAGACAAGCTGCAACTTACCACCACTTCACCTTGCATCTATCGACTACTTGATTTAACTTGATTCAACGGTTTGTCTACTACCAACGTATTACGTATTCGTACAACACTATTCTTATTTCTGACACATGGTACAATAAATCTCTCATAATCTTAAGTTGTGTTACTATTAAACAAACTCCAGTATTACCTTAAAAATATTTACATGCGATTCTGTTTATTATCATTTAACTTAATATTTCTCATATTGATTGTTATTTTGTCAATGAATTATTTTTTTCAACTAGTTGAATGCACACTTTAAGATAGCAACTTTTACTTCAGTTATGTGAATTAAAATCAAATTTTAAACCAATTGAAGGAATTTTAGAGTCTATCTTCTTTACATTTGAATGGAACTTGAATTCGTTTTTACATAACTTAACAAATATTGAAACAATTTTGATATTAATAGATTTAACTAACATTATATTATACTTAATTACAGTTGATAAATTAACCTGTACTGTATTTAATCAACGGATATATTTTACCTAATTTTTATTAAATATCGGCCTCTAAATTTTATTACAATAATTTTCACCAATGCCAAGCTGAATGTTTAAAACGAGTTTTTAATGAAATATGATTTCTTATTAGTTAAATCGTACATTATTTTGATAAACATACTGGAAAGTTCGTATCCTTCAAAATAAGCAATAAGCATAATAATGTAGTATAACTGTACTATTGTATGGTAAAAGTAGTTAAATATCAAAATGTTTAATAGTGTTAGGAACAGGGAGGACTGGTCAGAGGGCAATAGAACTCTGGACTGCCGTCTCGATGATTAGCATAATTTGTAGTAATAATATATTATTGTGATAATATTACATAACAATTATTGTGCCCCCTGGGCCGTTGGATTCCCATTTCAGCCCCGTTAAGAAGTATTTTTCTTATTAATTGTTTAAAAAACAATTTTAGTAATAATGATGAATTTTACTAAATATTAATTCAGCTAGTCATGTTTAACTTTTATTAATAAGAAAACGTAAATCAATACTTTGATATTATTGAATGATAGATATTTATGACATAAATAATATTTACTATTACATAATATATACAAATTTAATAAAATGTCAATGTTATTTTTACAAAAATATATACGATATATATTTAAATAGTATATATTATATGTACAATTTATTAATATACCTGATATAGTAATACATTTTGTTATTCTTATAGGTTAATAATAATCACCTTGAAATTATTACTTTAAATGAATAGTTTAAACCATAATATTTATGTAAATAAATGAATTATTTACAAATTTGAATAATATAATTTTTGTACTATTTATTATTCTATATTTTTAATGATTAATTAAATTATAATTTAATAGCTCAAAACCCTATTAGAACAATTATTCATTATTATTAATTAGACCTACCCTAACAACAAGTTACTAATAACAAATAACCGATCATCGAACTGTTAGTGTACACTGATTTTAGCTTTTAATTGTGTACGTTTCATAATCCACACTAATACACAGAATCATTATTGAAAATAAAATAGTACGTTAAAGCAGTGTTTCTTAACCGCGGCTGGCGAATCTCATAGGGGTCATAAACTGTTTTTTTAGAGTCACCAAAATATGATTTTAAAATGATTATGCACATAATAGAGGTTATTAAAAAAAATTAAATCTAATAAAACTATAGTTACTTGAGTCAAATCGACAGACGGCGTAAAATTTTTTTGTCAATAAGTATGAGAATGTTACTAGTTACTATATAGTTACAATTATTGTATAAATAATAGTGTCATTATTTTTTCTTTACTTTTAGACGAATGTAGTACACTATTTTAAAATTCTATTAGGAATTTAAATATTAAAATAAGATGGAAAAAGACAGGGATATCCTCAGGCTTAACTTCCCCCATCCAGGAAAATAGTATCTTCCTTTATTTATTTTTTCCTGAGTATATCTGTTCTCCATTGAAAACAGATATGTATATCACTTCGCGAAAACATCTTTGAATTAATATTAAACAAATCAGATAATTCTCTTGAAATTTCAAAGTGGCTTAACATTCACAAAATTCTTTATTTTTAACTGTGTATGCATAATTAAAATATATTTTAGTGTAATTTAGCTGGCGAACGAAAACAAGAACTTATGAACCGTATAAATAATTTAATACAAACACATTTAAATTCAAACTATATGAAACTCGAGATTATACATAAACATTTTTTCCATGGAAAATATCAATATTTTCTATTCAATCATTAATGAATAATGAATGAATGAGCATTTATAATTAAAGAGAAAATTGAAAGGTTCTCACATATCGTTCATATAGTTTAGTTAAAAATTTGATTTATCATTTGAAACAGTAGTTATAAATTGTTTCTTTTTAGCTTCAATGCGAAGGTGAGAAGATATTAATTTTACTAGGATGTGTTTTTTTTTTAATTATTATTATTTTTTAAGTCTGTTACTACTTATTTTCAGCTCTTACTGGACCGATTTTGATGAAAAATATATCAAAAAATCACAAATCATATCTAGTGGACGACTTTACCCTCAAAAATTGAAAAAAATTCCATCGTTCCTCGTAAATGGGGGAAATCCCCCAAAAAATTACATTTTAACAATTGATAATTTTTGACATTTTTCCATTTTTTTTTCATTTAAAAGTGTCATAACTTTTTCAAAAATGTATAAATCAAAACAATTATTTTTTTTTATAAATACATTAAGTATTTACCTATCATTTGGTATATATATTTTTTAAAAAACTGTCCCTTTACCTACCCACAAGAGGGGTGTCAAAATAGCAACCTTATCACAAAAATTAACTTTTCCAACTTAACTTTTAAAAATTTTCCGGAAATACTGACACTTTTATACATATCTTAAATTAAAGAATATGTAATATACTTTAATTTAAAAAAAAAAAAGTTTTTTTGTGACTATCATTTATTTTTTCTGCTCTCACTTGAACTACTTTTTTTAATGATACATCAAATGATTATAATTCGTATCTAGTTGAAGAAATTATCCTTAAAAATTGAAAAAAAAAATAATTTATCAATTAAAAGTTACATTCTTTACATAGACAATTAAAATTATACATTTCTAATGTTTATAAAGTATTTATCGAATTAAGTTTGATATACTGATAGCTTTCAACTACAAAATTATATTATAATTTTTATTGTAATTTATTAATTTTTTGCTTTATTTTTGTATGTTACTACAAGTCTATAATATTCCAAATTTTTTGGTAACATGTTGCTATTTAAATAATTTCTAAAAAAAAACAGCTTTTAGTTTCACCTGAATTTAACAATGGATTTTTACAATTATAATAAAATTTTTTAACAACATTTTCATTGTTTTTTTTAGTTAAATTAAATTATTAAAAATAATTCAAACTTGTAAGTTGAGCTAAAAGTTATGGTAACAAATTCGTTTTTTTTTTAATATAAACTTTCATAAAAATCAACTTTAAAAGACCAAAAAAATTATATTTTGCCCTGATTATTTTTAACATATTAAAAATCAAAATCAGCAATAATTTAAAACATAATTTTTTTTTGTTTTAATTATTTTTTTATAAGTAAATACTTATGTTTTACTAATTAGTAATAACATTATAAGAAAAGTGTATTTTAGATTTCGATGAAAATTCCCCTAGTCCAGTGTATTTAGTGTAGGAGTTGATGTTGCCTTTGTAATTGTCCAAAAATTTCTTAGAATTAAACACTATTGACAGATTTGCATCGAAATATTTAAAATTTTTTATGATAGTGATTTTTATCACTGTCACATATCATTTAAACTTGTCCATACTGTGCCGTGACCCCAGTGTGCTACCGTTTTTGTAATTGAAATTAGCAACGTCTATTTTGTATAATTCATTTATAATTAACAAAATCATATTTATCAATATTCATTATCTCGTAAAGATAAAATGACATGGAGAGTATGCTCTTATCGTGTGTTGCATGGGCATAACTGGCGGGGTGCTGCAACACCTCCAATAAAATCACGTGAAAATAACTTTTTCTTATTTTATGAAAGATTTTTATCATTAGTAGCAGACAGTAAATATATAAAATGAAAAACATTTTTCAACACAATTTAAAAATTGTTTGAGGTTATGTTTTTATTTACAAAATATATCATGATAAGGCGAAACCTTTCAGTAATATCCTATGGTTTATAGACGTGCAATGTTATAAATAAAACGAGAATTCATAGCATTAAAATCGGAAAAACTTCCGATAAAAATCAAAAAAAGATGTTAATACAATTTTTTATAAGAAAATAAAATTTTTTATTATTTACAAGATGTGAGCATTACATAATTTCAGCACTTCTTGCATTTTTGCTTTAGTTGAGCTCATGGATTGGTGTAATTAAATTATCACCCTGGGGTGTAAATAAAAAAATTTCATTACTTCTTCCAAATGAAAAAATTCTTCATTAAGTAATTATTTTTTATCTCCATCATACAGATACCATAACTTTATTGTTTTTTGTATTTTCAAATAAAATCAAGAAAAAAAATAAAGTACAGTAGAATTCCAGAAAAGTGGAGTTGAGGCATTTTTTTAGATTGAAATTGATTAATATTTGACAGTGATTGAATTCACTATTATAAATTACTTGCTAGATTCGTATTTCAAACAAATTAAAAAATATTCATCAGATCTACCTAAAATTAAATTATTATCGTTTTTAGATGCCCATAATTCATGGAAGATAAGTAAACAAAAAGCTTTTTTTTATTTGTATAGTATATAAAAAAAATTATAATTTGATATAACTTTGAATAGTGTACCGTGACGTATTTCGAGAGAGTCTCTAGGGCACGTGCCTCCTCCTCCCTTTGTCTGATACATGTCAATATTTTATCAAGCTATGTGGTTATATATGATAAATTAGTACTCAATAACGACTAAAAAAAATTCTGATATTTTTTTGGTTATCGAGAATATTATATGTATCAAAAATTAGTTTATATAGTTGTCTTGAGAAGCAAAATTCAACGTCCTTGTAGGGTTTTCCTAGAAATATTATAATTTATTATTAACAAATATGTTGAATTTTTATCTTTTTGAAGTGTTTAATAAAAAGAAAAAAAATATTTTTTACGTTAATTCTTATATGCCTGTTTTTAATTATTAAAAATTATTTTATTGTATTTTTAATTTTTGTTTTGTTGAAGAAATAAAAATCATTTTGTTTAATAATCTTTATATAAATTTTAAAGTAATGTTTTTGTTTTATTTATAAGATATTATTTTTATTTAATAAAAATTATTATCAACATAATATAAGTATATTTCAAATAAAAATGAATTAGTAGTTAGATTTTTTTTATATTTTTATTTAACAAGGGTGCTTCAAACTTTAATTCAGTTTCTGGTTATATTATTGACAGAGATAACAAAACTTTGTTATACGTAAAAAAATATTGATGGTAAAGTTTAGAACTATTCAAGAGTGGTAATGAGTTCTATACTTGTTTTTGATTAAAGAATACATTTTTATTAAATGCGGTCCTAATTATATCGATGGTGCTTAAGAAAAATTGTTGAAATCAAAATAAAGTAAAAATATACTTATTTATACTAATAAATTGTTATTTTGGATTTTTTTTTCCCAGCACAAATATAAAATGTTTTTTTTTGTTTGAAAAAACTATTTTTTATATGCTGTTTAACAAAAAGTTGTTTTAAACAAAACGTTTGATTAATTTAGACATTTAAAACATTTTTAATTTTGGAGTTTTAAAAATATTTTAAACATCTCAACCTTTGTTTGGAATATACATCCTAATAAATCCTCTAAAATAAACAAACTATATACTATTATTTAGTTATATTTTCTATTTCATAAAATGTTATATGAAGAATAAGAAAATATGACTAAATAATGTTTTCATATTATATAGTTAATTCATCAACTATTCTTTCATACTCAATTACTCACAAAATAAAAGTTATATTCTTATTTAAAAAATATTTGGTATGTACCAATTAATACAAAACGATGAAAGTGAAACTAGAATAAAATATAAAAGATAGTAAATTCTCTCAAATTTATCCATGGAATATATTTTTAAGTAACTTTTTTGAATATAACTCCATAAAAGCATTAATAGTCAATAATAAATAATTATTTCATGTTTTATTAACTTAAACAGCATAATTTAATGCAAATTTCAAGGAATTTTTGTGATTAAATGTATATAATTTTTAATTTTTTGATGCATATAAATTTTACATATAAATAAGACACTAACCATGACTGATGTCAAATATTAAAATTTTTTTTGTTTTATTTAATTAAATTTCTAATTTAAAAATTTCTAACTTACAACACTAATATTATGTGTATTTAAAAACTATATTATACACTTAAATACATTCAAAAAGGGCATTTTTATTTTTTAATGAAATATTTGTATTATAAAATTAATATTATAATATAAAACTTTTTTGGTATAAAAATAGTCTTAACGATTATTCAATTATGTTCAGAAAAGGATTGGAATTTATAACGTTTTTATTTTTCTAAATTTTTCAAAAATGAATTCTACTGTTTTTCCTTGGTATCCTTTATATTTTTACTAATTTTAAGTTTCTAACAATTTGTACGATTGAATAATTTTTGTAAGTTAAACATAACGCTTAAATAAAAGTATAGAAATTAAAATTTTCAATAAATAAAATTTAATGTTTCAGTTGTCATGTAACACAACTAGTTTAAATTTATTACTCTATCTATTTTATCTTTCTAAATTTAATGATGATTATTCGTTGATAATTTTGTTCAGAAATAGGTCATTCCTAAAACTAATGTTTATTGGAAAAAACATGTTTTCTATATTTTTTTATTAATGTAGATATCGTCTAATACCGTTAAATAAACACGAATCACTTTAAATGTGTACTAAATTAAAAATGATAGAGAAATTTAACTGCAAAATATAAATAAGATTTTTTTCTTAATATATACTCATTATAATATTAAATAGTAATAGCACTAAATATTAAATCACATATTCTGCATCTTTAACTTGCTACAATTTTTATTAAAAAAAATAGAATTTTTGTAAGCATGTTATCATTTCAGCTTACAACATGATTAACTAGTAGCGTAATTAAAATTTTATCCTGCGAAGATAAATAATTTAATTCCTTATTTATTTTTTAACGTTCGTCTAAACTTTAAATTATATCTTTAGGCCGAAAAATGTCTACTTAAACAGTAGTTAAATGTAATTGAAAACTGTTTGATGATTTTAATTTTTGAGTAATTTATGTTCATAATTACACATATCATCGATTATTTTTCACATTGATCATTGATTAAATGATGTGGGAAGATGACGATGTATCATTCACGGAAGGTTTATTGATTTCAAACGCTCGCCCCCTTTAGTTAAATAATAAAAATTATGTTTTAGACTGTCGTTCCTGCGTCGTCTGCCTTCAGCGTCGAGTCGAATGTCAGCATAGGGGCCAACAGTACTAGGAAACGGCGTCGGTGGTGGTTGGACACAGGGTAAAGAGAAGAGATCATGTTGCTGAATGTCATGGCATTGGTCGGTTTATTCTCTACCCGCACTCTTCGTGGACTGTTTTTAGGGTGGGATAAAGAGGGAAGAGAGGTTACACTTGTAGTTACGGCGACGACGCGAACACGGGCGCGCAACAGAACGAACGAGGACGACAACGAAATGAAGGCTTATCATCAGTTCCCGCTTTGTGCCGGCCGTTCAAATTGTTCGTTCCTTCTTGTTTGGAAACTGCGTGTAAGTATGAAAGCGCGTCTACCGCTACCAATAATGTTCTTTTCTTCCTTGCTTTTTTTCCCATCTACCGCCGTTTATGTGTTTTCCCCATTCATAGTCCACACTCTACTCCTATTTTCTCCCTAAAAATCGCCGCTATTGCGTTTTGTTATTAATATTATTATTTATTTATTATTTTTACTTTTTTCTTTCTCTTTCCACGACTCATAGTGTTATGCGTTTGTTCGTGTTGTTTTTCTCGCACCAAACATAAAAAATGTATAACCTCCAACCCATACCATTTATCGCCCCACTTATTCCTCTATTCTTTACTCAAACGTGATTCAAACTTGTCTTCTTCTATCTTCTCTACTTCGATTCCAAAAAGCTAGTAGGACGTTTTGCGTTTTGTTATTCGTCGCTTCTTCGTCTATTCTCCAAAAACCACAAGCCATTATCCCTTGATACTATCTTCATTCATTCGGTTCTAATGCTATTTTTTCCTATTTTACTCATACTTGTTTTTTTATATTTAAATTTGATTTTACCAATTTAGTAGTAATTATGGGTGTTCTGAATAAATATTATGCAATAATATTTTACACAGTACTAATAATTGTCTTTATTAATTTAATAATGATTATATAATTTAATCAATTATTATTAATCGTATTAATGCACTAAATTAATACAAAAGGTTTTTCTCATTAAATAACATTTAATTTTCGGTTGAAACGTTTTAACAGAGTTTTCCACTACTTTACAGATATTTTAGTTATTAAAGTCAGTTTAAGTGGGTGGTAGTTTCGGATCGATCGTATTTCTACTGTCGTTATGGGCGTTGTTTGCGCGCTTTAAATTTTACTTGACTTTTGATGAACCCAATTATTAACTAATCTATAATTTAATATAAATAGTAGTTTCTACAGGGTGATCCATTTAACATTGACCAGCAAATATCTCAAAAACTATTTATTATTTTAATAATTTTTTTTTTAAATTATTTTAGTTACATAAAACTTTGAATAAAACTATGGACTATGTTTTATGTAACTAAAATAATTAAAAAAAAAAATTATTAAAATAATAAATAGTTTTTGAGATATTTGCTGGTCAATGTTAAATGGATCACCCTGTATAAACTACTATTTATATTAAATTATAGATTAGTTAATANCAATTCATTTGAATTATATTAATTGTTATACTAGTTAATACCTATGGCTGATTAATGACGTATTAAAAAGTATAGCTTTTAAAATATATAGTAGTGAGGAGATTCACCCTTACAACTCCCCAGCTACTATGATTTTATGTATATGGGAATCTTCATTGACCCCCCTGAAGTAAATGACACTGTGGTTTATTAGTTAGTTGTGTGACTAATTAGTTTTTAAGTATATTGGCTAATTTCGAAATTATTTTATTAAATGAATCAATAAATACCATTTATTTTTATAGGCATGTACTGCGTGCATACTGACCTAGTTTAGCCTCAACCGGATTCTTTTTAGTTTCATAAAAAAAATTAATAATTAAGTTTGAGTTGTGTTACTATCCTTGCGGACAGGCGAGGATTTTATTTTAGTGTAATATCTATGTAAATCATTTGTTTTGACTTTATAGCGAGTGTTGAAATTAAAATTATCATTGTTTCAATTCGATTAATAAAAACATCGAGTATTTAACGATAACAACATAAACATAGTTTATAGTATTTTATATATGGCTATAGATAATACATTGTATTAAATTAGTCAGATGTATGATTACGTCTCATACAATAAATTAATACTTGGCTCATACCGGAGTTATTGATTAACAGTTATATAAAATAAATATTGTTTATTATTAAATTTTTAATTATAAAATACTTATAAAATTTCTAAGTATTTGCAAATATGTTACTAATTATAATATTTAATTATTTTTATCTTAGTGAATGTTATTTTTTCTAATTCATTTATGATAATTCATTTATGCATGTCTAATAGTCCATAATAATACATTTTATTATTATGGACTATTAGATATGATCATTATATATCTTGATATAGTAATACAAATAAAAAATAAATATAATATAAAAGCTCTATGGTATTGGAGCACAACTCTCATGATGATTTTTATCATAAACATTTTTGAACTCCTCAAACTTACAAAATAATTTATCTGCCGCTGCCTTCTGTTTAAAAAAAATTATAGTTAAGTCTTGTATTATAATACCACATTTTATGTCAAAATCCTATTAACGATTCTTACTATGGTATTGAAGTAAAAGATAAAATAATTACAAGGAGTTAAAATCATAAAAAACCTTACATCATATAAAATTCAATTAAACAACTGTTTAATAAGGTATATCATACATTCATTTAATAATTATTTTAAAATTTAAAATACCACGTATATTTCAACTAATAGAAGCGCTCAAAATTTACGCTATCTATCAGCATAATCGTCTGCGTCCATTCATGTTAAAAATTGAATTGCCAAAATTGTGTACGGTGTAGTCTATCTACGTGTGTTTAATCTATGGTATTATTTTTATGTTGTTAACTCAATTAAATTTAATAATATAAATAATATTACTGAGTAAATATATGTTTAATTACTAAACATATAATTGCGTATTGTAATAATTGAATTATTTTTATAATTATTAACATGTTTTTCATTGTATAATGAACATATAATGTTTTCAAAAAGACAAAAATCAAGTCAAGTCTAAAATGATAAATAAATTTCCATTTAAATTTCAAAGGTTCAGAGTAAACATATTTCAATAAAAATTACTAGTTTTGAGTTTTAAAACATTTTGGTAAAATTTTGTCAGGACGTGTTGTAAAACTTGAGATTTTTTAACGCGCGTTAATCTCTCAAACCAACCTAAAACATACATAAGAATAAATCATATCGTCGTCTGTTATTAATATGATGTCATTATTTTTATTGCGTGCATCTAACCACTCTGTATGTAAATATTTTTTGCTCTTTCTGTTTTGGTAATAAAAAAAAAAGTAATAAAATTAAAATATTTATGATCATTAACTAATTTTAACCATAAAATAAATACACAATGTGTATATAATCTATGTAATTGGTTAAAAAGAAAAATAACGAATAATTAGTGATGGGCAATATTGAATAATGATTATCGAATTATTCGATAGTATTGAGTGACAGCTTATTTACATCACTAGTTTAAATTATTCATTCATGTAATGAATAATCTGTATCAATGTATCAAATTAATAAGAATTTAATGGCGTACAAATTAAATAATAAAATGTATTTCCAGATTATTCATTCATACAATTTATTAGTACAAAATTTTAGATTATTCATCCATACAATTTATTGATCGAATAATTAATCAATAGTTTAATTTTTGCGATAGTGCAAATTCTATGAATAATTGTTATCAATTTGATAATAAATAAAAATTTTATAAGGTTTTTTTTTTATTGATAATAATTTTTTTTTAATATAAAGAAAACTTCAGATTTGAAAAATTTACAAACATGCTTATTTTATGCAGTCAATAATACAAAAATTAGCTCTGATCCTTAGAATAAAAAATAAAAATTTTACTTTGAAAATAGTGCTTTATAAATCAATCGTTGACATTCCTTACACTCTACACAAATATAATAAAAATATGTAAAAACGAAAAATCCGTTTTCTATATATGACAGTTCATGTTGAACAAGTGTGAATGATTCCCGCAAACCAAATTTAAAGAATTACCTGAAATAATTTTTTTGAAATGAATGTTTTATAAACGACACAGTGTACTAGTTAAATACATATTGTTAATTTAAGATATTGTCTTAAAAATTCAAATATTTTGAATAGATTTCGTTTTTGAAGTAATTTTTAGTTAGACTCAGTAAGTAGACAGGACAGCAATTACAGCACTGAATAATCACCTACTATAATTATAGACAATTTAAGGGATATCTAATATCAATTAATTATGTGTCAATATTATTTTAAATTTAAATATTAATTAATATTTTTAACGCAAATTACTTTATTTATTTAAAATTGAAATTTGATCACTTTTTTCACTATAAAATAATTTGTATCACTTTTACATTATTTTTTTGATTTCAACTAAATAAACCTATTCAAAAATAAAACTAATTAAAATTAAAATAAATGTAAGAGAAAAAGAGTTTAAATCATAATTTAAGTAAAATTCGTGATTTTGAACTTGTGAATAAATTTTAATAAAATTTACAAATTCTAATGGATGTTGTTTATTTAAACTGTAACTGTGTAAAAAAATTTTTTTTTTGGTTAACTAATTATATTATTAATTAATGAATCATTTTGAACTTGATGAAATATTTTATAATAAAAAAACTGTAAAGATTAATCGTAATTATAAAAAATGAGTATTAATATTTTTTATTTTTGTGGTTATCATTATTTTGAATAATGTATTTCGTTTTACTTTCTGTAATGAGTTTTAAAAAAGTATTTTGATAAATCTGATGGATAATAATTAATTTTGTCATAAAATAATTATTAATTTTACAGTAAAATGAAACTAAGAAGTAAAATGTAGGGAAATTATGTTTTTTACAATAGTCTTACAAAAATGTATTTTTAAATTCGTATTATGTGTTTATGTATCGCTATATTTTATACTTGGCTTCGTCTAGCTAGAGCTCCGCCCCAGACCCTATAAAGATAAATAAAATCTTAATCTTAATAAAAGTATGCTTAATAAACTAAACATAATATATAAAATTAACAAACATAATATCAAAAAATAAGATAGTTAGTAACTAATACAATCAATTCATAACATTAACATACGACATTAATTACATCGTATATTAATTATGAATTGAAAAGAAAATTAAATCGTCATAAAAATACATACTTTATAAATTAAGGTTTACAACAAACATATGCATAGAAATGAGTAAATGCCCATATTAAAATCATGCGCGTGGACTTAAAAAAAAAAAAATCTCGTAAAACGATGAAAAATGAACGGATTGGATTGAATTGATTTTTTTATCATATCTCACTAATGTCATTGGGCGGTTCCGGTGAAAATTTCAAACCTTAAGTTGTAAAACGCAGGTGTCAGCGAGCGCTTTTCTCGAAATTTTAAAACGCTCCCGAGCGAGCTACAAAATTTTTCCGACTTTCGTCAATATTTTCCCGGAGTTAGATTACCGGGTACTATAGTTGAAAAAAAAATTTTTTGAAAATCCGAACACGCTAAGTAATTTTCCCAGAAAAGCCTTTTTTTTTCTTGTTTTATTATAAAATAAGATTGTACAATCATTATAAATGATTTACTGAATATTGAAAAATAATATCTTTATATTATAAAAATTGTTCACTTGTGGATAATATTACTTAAAATTAAAACAATATTAAAAATATTTAACTTAAAAAGCCACAAAAGAATCACTTTGATAATGGTAACATTGTTTCCGTAATACGTATCTTCAATTTTTTGTGGTTTTTTGAGATAAATATTTTTAAATAGTTTTAATTTTAAAATTTAGTATCTATATTATAATATATAGTAGGAGTTATTGTTTAATGTTTGGTGTTTTTAACACGCTTATATTAGTTTCACCTGTATGTTTGTTTGTAACTCTCCAAACGCCACGCGTTATCGCATATTCCGTCGTCTAGACTAGACTGTCATAACGCATTTACCCCACTCCACGCCTCGCTCATCACACGCCGGCAATACTATTCCTGTATAAATTTATTTTTGGTTATCGTACCCGTACACGCATGCTTGTCATCAATATTATATATATATAAACAAATTTTTATTTATCTGACCATTATCATCCGCGTACATACGGCTTACGTATATATTCCTACCGCCGTTTATACCTCAGGTATATCGTTAGTCCGACCCGCCCGCCCACAAAACACGGCCATACCTAATGCATGATACGTTTACGTACTTAAGTCGCTTTACATGTATATATATATATTCTAATTACTATTAAAAATATATAATAACACACTTTATTCTTATTTAGAGATATAGAACTCATTCATTCCGATTACAAAGGATGAATCCAGTATCGTCATTTTTCGTCACTACCTCCATGTTCCGGGAGTGGGTAATTTACGCGCCTGCTGATTTCCTTGGATATGGGAGCCGTTTCTCAGACTCCCTCCCCGGAATCGAACCCTGATTTACCGTTACCCGTTACAACCATGATATAGATAGTAACTACTATCATAACATAAAACTAAAAAGTGAAAAATAAATATAGTTTAAAAAAAACTAAAAAACACGCTTTTAAAGCACATCGAACTAAAAAGTTAAAAATAATTTTTGAAATAATTATGAATAAAAAATACCAGTATTATTGTGATAAAAGCGTCGGGCGCTCAATATACGAAAAATATGGCACAAAGCACCCACGCTTTTATCACAATAATACTAGTATTTTTTATTCATAATTATTTCAAAAATTATTTTTAACTTTTTAGTTCGATGTGCTTTAAAAGCGTGTTTTTTTAGTTTTTTTTAAACTATATTTATTATTTGAATCTGATTGAATTTTATGAGATATTCGAGTTTTTAAAATAAGTAGCTGAAATGACCAAGAAATGATGTAATTGAAACAATGAATTTCTTTTATATTTTTCGATAAAGTTTATAATATTTATCTATTAATATGAGTTATTCTAAATAAATACCTAAATAACACATATTATCATACTTATTTTTTGACATTATTCGTATTACACTCTTTTTGTTGTTTAGTCCGCTAACTTCTGGCCAACGAAATTTTCAAATGAATAATGAATTTTCAGTTTATATATTTTTAGAATATTATTCTTCACATATTATGTATACGAATATGCTTAATAATATATTGGCACATCATATATAATATATACCTAGTTGTTTAAATAATAAAAATAGTTTTAGCTTCTATGCAAAGCTGAGAAGATATTAATTTTACTATGTGTTTTTTATTACCTATAATCGGGCTAGTGCTATCGGTCAGATACTCTCTTATGTTAAAAAGGTTTCTAATACAAATTTGCACAAGTTTACATAATTTGTTATGTAAATACAATTCTGAAATAGTTTGACCTTAAATTTTTGATCATCTTTATTTCACAAAAATAAAATTTAACATGTTGCTTAACATGTTAACAACATGCTTAAAAAGTAACAACTAAAATTTATGAATAAATGTCATATTATCTTTAAAATAAATTATTTCCAATAAGTGTTTCTGATTAATTGTAACCTGCTTTTAGTGAAAATGTCAACAAATGGCCAACATTACTGCCTACGTTGGAATAATTATCAATCAAATATGACATCAGTATTTCATCAACTACTCCGTAATGAATCATTTGTTGATGTTACTTTAGCATGTAATGAAAGTACTCTTAAAGCACACAAAGTAAATTAAAAATTACTGTCTTTTATAAATTAGTTATAATTTATTTCCCTTTATAATAGGTTGTTTTATCAGCATGTTCTTCATATTTTCAAAAATTGTTAATGGATAATCCATGTAAGCATCCTACAATTATATTACCATATGATATATGCTTCAGTGATTTGAAATTCATCATAGAATTTGTATACAGAGGTGAAATAGATGTTTCTCAAGCTGAGCTCCAAGTAAGAATTCTACTCTATTCAAATGATGCAAATTAATAACATAAAAAGAAAAAATTATATCCTAAATTTGAACTTAGTGTTAGTTTTATAAGTTATGCTCATCCTCGTTTATGTAAGGTACATTATTTTGTTTAAAATAAAGTTAACAAAACTAATATTTAGTATAAAAAATAAACATAATAAAAATAGAATTTAGAATTTATTACTTAATATTATGAAACAATAATAATATTTATTGGAATAAAATTTTTATATCATAAAAAACAAATTATTCTTGTATATTTTAACTACTTTATCTAAACAAAATTTCCTTATTATTTTATTTGAATGAAGGTCATAGCAACTAGGCTATTAACTTTGTTCATTATGTGAACAAAATGTTTAAGTTTCTGTTAGGTGTATATTTTAAAACTGTTTAGTATAACTTAATAATTTGTTTCTAGTCTCTTTTGAGAACAGCTGACCAATTAAAAATAAGAGGTTTATGTGAAGTCCCTGAAGATGAACGTGATTCTTCAATTACTGCTGAAGTAACACCTCTTGGACCTTTAAAGACAGGTGGACGTGTTTTTACAAAGCTTCAAAGAAGAACATCTCCATACATAAAAAAATTAAGTCCGAACACTACTGGATGTTTTCAATCTGAACAATATAGTCGAAATTTTTATAGAATCGAACAAACTGGTTTTGCTCCTATTTGTATTAATCAAGAAAACAAAACAATTAATGTAAATTTTATCAATTAATTAATTTTTAGTTATAAAAATATTCAATTATATCAAATTTTAGTCCTCCCACTGTATGACTGTGGCAACTTCTACAGAAGAAGATGAAAAAGAAATAAAATCAACCCTCTCAGATTTACCTGTAGTTATATTAGATCCTCATTCGACTTTAAATGTACAAGCACATCAGCCTCAAATAGTACATATGAATATGCCATCACAACAAACACAAATTAATCATGAAGTAACGCAACATCAAAATTCACCTCAGTTACAGCAATCTTCTGTTCAAACTCACACACAAGTAATTTCTCATTTATTTTAGAAAAAAAAAAAAATTTATATTTAAGAATATTAAGACATATGAATACTTTTTTTAATGAGTCCGTTTTTAATAGACTATAAAAGTCTTTATGAAGAAAAATTATTCTTTTTGTATCAAATTATAAAATTTAGTCTATATTTTTTTCTTGTCATAATTTAGGAGTGGTTGATTGATTTAATATAATAAATTGTCTTACAAAATATATTTTAAATACCATTTTATATAAAAAGGATATCTAATTTTACTTTACTAATATTGACTATCCTACTATAAGATTAAGATATCACTCCAATAACCCTTTAAATTTAATTATACATTATTTGAAAGAAGTACTGTTATGTTATGCAAAATTTAATCTATCTAATTATATATATTATATTTTTCAAAGTTGAAGTTTAATTATTTTGAAAACAATTTTTTGTCATTTTGATAAATTATGCATTATACGCCTGAAATTTATTTAATAATATTTCTCTTATTTTTTTAATACATGTTTTAGATGATTATTACATCAACACCAATTATGACTGTTTCTGAAAGTGATATTACACCAGATGGTCAGCCAGTTGGGCCAAGAGCTACACCTGTACCAGTTAAACCAAATTCTAGTCCATCAACTACTCCAACACATCGTGATATGGCAGGTAGGTTTTATTATAAAATATATAAGTTATTTATTTGCAAGACCATTTCTACAAAAAAAATAGAAGAATTTTTTATCATCTTTAGGTTAAATATTTTTTTTTTTGGTTTATTAATCAGATTGTTAAATAAATTTATCCATATTTATAAATATGGGTAAGCGAAAAAAAATGTTGGTGAAGTTATTCAAGAAATCGGAATTTTTTCAACCCTTTTGCTAAATTTTATACAAAATTTTAGTCCATGCCACCTAACCACCTTCACTTTTATTAAAAAAATTAGCTTTATGAGAATACATAACTATACTTATTTCCTTTACTTTACACAAATCTAAAATTATGGTAGAAAATTTATTTTAATAAACTACAAATATTAATTATATTATATACAAATATAGTTATATAAATCACTTAATTAAAATGACAAATGACTAATGACAAATATATATTACCTAAGAAAAATTGAATTTACAATCTTATACTCTAACACACTATTTTATCTAAATTAGTATCTATACAAGTTAAATTATATTATCTGCAAAATGATATTTCACTATTTATTGGAAATTTATTTTTGTAAAATTTCAGTGGGTACATCTAGTTCTAACGACACTGCTAATGATGCAACTGATGTAAAATATGAAAGTGTTAAGTTTGAAACATTACGTACAATTGATCAAACATCTGATGCTATTGGAATAGATAGACAACAAGCTAGAGAATGTATTACTGTAAGTTATTTAAAGTTACATCTGAGTTGTTTAAAGTATAAATTTAAAAATATTTTATTTATTAATACTTACATAGAATATGAACGAGGAAGAAAGTTCTATGCATACAATGATGATAACACCAGAGTTATTAGGATTATTGCCTAGTTCATCTAACACAGGAGGTAAAGTACTTTATTAAACAGAATAAAATAAATAGAATATAATGTTGAAATATTGATTTTTTTACTTTTATGTAGATGTCAGTGATGAAAACTCAAGTAGTAATATGAATAAGCAATATGGTACAACTAATGGAAAAGGTTGGACTACTGAAGATATGGAAAATGCCTTAGAAGCTTTACGTTCACACAATATGTCTCTTACTAAAGCATCAATAACATTTGGAATCCCATCTACAACTCTGTGGCAACGAGCACATCGAGCTGGCATCGACACTCCTAAAAAAGATGGACCAGCTAAGTCATGGAATGATGATGCTTTAAATGTTGCTTTAGATGCTTTGCGTACAGGCACTATATCAGCCAATAAAGCCAGTAAAGCTTATGGTATACCTAGCAGTACATTATATAAAATAGCCAGAAGAGAAGGTATTCGTTTGGCAGCTCCTTTTAATGCAGCTCCAACATCCTGGGGACAAGAACAATTAGATCAAGCATTACATGCTATTCGAACTGGTCAAACAACTGTTCAAAAAGCAGCAGCTGACTATGGAATTCCATCTGGTACTTTGTATGGCAGGTGTAAACGCGAAAAAATTGAACTTTCTCGTAGTAATCCTACTCCTTGGTCAGAAGATGCTATGATGGAAGCTCTTGAGTCTGTACGTTTGGGTCAAATGAGTATAAATCAAGCTGCAATTCATTACAATCTACCATATTCTTCATTATATGGCCGGTTTAAAAGAATTAAGTATGGTGCTGATCATCCAGATGATGATTGTGATGTTATGGATGATTCGGATACACAAAATGAACATCATCAACAACATCAGCAGCAACATCAACATCAACAGCATCAACAGCAACAGCAACATCAGCATCAGCATCAGCATCAACAACAACAGCAACAGCAGGTTACTCAACAAGTTCAAGCTACTCCAATGTCGCAGATAATGTTGGTACAATATCCAGCACCAACTCAAATTCAAATGTATCAACAGCATCCTACTCATTCATCAACCAGTTGAGATGAAGTTAAATATCTGCAGCCGCTTTGATGTGCTAATATAGTTGCAGGTATATTATAAAAGTTGAAATTTTTTAAATTATACATTAAAAATCAAATATCTGTGATAGTTAATTTATTTTTCAGTAAATTTTATTTAGATATTTTTAGTTTTATTTCAATATGATCTCTTAATTTTTATATTATGGACATATTTTTGTAAATGTAATGTGTAAAAATGTTAGAATAGAATTTTTTTATGTGAAGTCCATGAATATCTTGTTCTTTATAATTAAAAATTACATTGAGAAGAATTATAATTTCAATTTAAAACATATATTTTAATCTAAATAAAATCTTAATTTTACTTTGTTTCTTTACAGCAATATTAAATAAAAATACAAAAATCATTTAGTGTTGATATATAAGTTTACATTTTTTTCTATTAGGAAAATATACATTTGTATAATTTTGATAGTATTCTTAAAATATTTAATGGATTATGTATAGTTGTAAACTAAAAAGTGTTATTAACTTTTTTAAGTATTTAAAACTTTGTTGTTTAAGTTCTCTTGTCAGATTTGAAAAACATTGGATAATTGTTTTTACTTCTATTTCAAATAGATATATTTTTATGTTAAATCATTGTACTGATCATTGTAATAAATGTAATTTACCTTTGTTTTAAGAAAAACCTACACTTGAAAAAAATGTTACTTATTTGTATTTTTGAACATAAAAATTAATTTCAATTTTACAATCTATAATTATTTTGTAAAATTAAGTTTTACGAAGTCATTTAAGCAAAGTTAAGTTAATAGCTAAAATGTCCTAATTAAACATGTTTATTACTAATTTATATCTACCAGAGAATATAGGAAAATGTATATTTAGCTTATTTTATTTATATTTTCAAAACTATTGTAGCTGATAATTAACGACATAAGCTTCTATTATTATTAAATCATACTAATTTAACAATTAATTAAATATGAACTAGATGTATATTAAGACATGACTGATGTGTATTATTTATTCAATAAAATTCTTTATTATAATATCAATTTTTATTTAAAATAAAATTATATAAGATTTATTTTTTATTTTAATGGATTTCTCCATTAATTTTACTTTCCAAATTTAGGTTGATTACCTTATTAATATATAAGATATTGTCTATTTTAAGGATGTTGGTCATTCTACTTCGATTTTTTATTCTTAAATATAATCTTGTTTTTATTAGTAAATAGTTAATATTGTTCAAGTTATATCAACTAAGAAAAAATCTCATAATGTATTATAAAATATTATTAACTGATAAAATATATTTATCATAATATATTATAAACTATTCAAAAAAATTCTAAGTAATATTTGTCACGGTTCAACTATATAATTTATTTAATAATTTTTAGGATTATTTTTTAAAAAAGGAGAGGATAATTGTCAAAATAATATTGGTTTGTTTGAATTTTAAATTTAATTTAACCGTAGCAACTTTTGTTTGTCATGAAAACTATAAATTACTTTTATTAACATTATTCTCAAAGCTTAATATTAAGGATTATTTAACATCATGTGCATTGTGTGTTACATTTCTTTTATATGCACTATTATGTATTTAGGGTTACCATTTCTTTTAAAGAGTCTTCTGTATTTATTGACGAACTTCATACAAGTGATATCTTTGGAAGATAAAATTAAGTGTAAAAAAAAAGGATCCATAACACGTAGAGAAGAAAAATATTGTAATTTTTAATTTTTTTTATTGTTATAATTTTATTCTTTGTATTGATTTCAATGTAAAGAGTCAAAGTAAACAAGTCAAAAAGTATGTTTTTTATTTTATTCATATTGTTTTTCATTTTTTTTTTTTAATTCAAGATAACTAATAGAAAAAATGTATAAAATGTAGTATTACTTAAAATATTTAATAGACTTAAAAAGTGTTTTTGATTGATAATTACAATCAAAATAAATGTTACTTATAAAAATTTCTTTTTGCTCATCAAATAAAATTTTTTTTCTGCATCGCTTTTGCTTACATATTTTAGCAAACTATTGACTATGGTTTAGTTGAAAAAAAAAACAAACCTCAATTAAATTATGATATATATATATAATTATATAATATATTTCAAATATGATTAATTATAATTTTTATTGTTCATTAATTGCTAGTAAAATAACAGAATTTAGTTCAATTATTTTAAGGAAATACAATAGCACTGATATATATATATATATATATTATTTTAAAGAGTTTACATTATACTATGAAATGGACGCATAAAAAAAAATTCCCTTAACCATAATAATGTTTCAAGTTAACAACTGGTGTAAAAATCCTGTCAAATCAATAAGGTAGAACCGACTATAAATAATTGGAATAAAGAAGATGATGATGATACTATAGATATTATAAGTTTTACAAATTATTATAAAACGAAGTGTTAACAAATTATCAAAAATTAATTAATGAAGTGTTATTTACTTTAATATAATGATTGTTTTATTTTTATTTTTTTTATATAACAAAACTTTATTTTATTTGTTCTAATTTTAATTTTAATAAACAAAATGAGTTTATGATTAAAAAATGCTATGATAACTTAGATGTTTTTTTTTAAGAGTCAGTAAGATATAATAATATAATTTTCTCATTTTTATTGTAGCAACATTTGTTTTCAAATATACAGCGATTTATTTAAAAATATCTTATTTTCCGCTTAATGTTGATTAAAAATTTCTTTAAATGTTTGTAATGATAACAGTAATGTATAGAAATTAGAATATTTGTTATCAATTTTTTGTAACAAGTTTTTCTATCACATCTTGTACTACCAACAGTAAGGTATACCACAATTTTTAGTGGTCTTCTATCCAATTGTTATTTAAAGTACTGTAAGTTCTCTTATTATAGTCTAAATAATTAAATAATTGTTAAACCACTCTAAATGGAAGATTACATTGAAAATCACAAGTCAAAAAGAATGAAGGTTGTGCTAGAGCAAAATGAAAAAATGCATAGTTTATTTCAGTGAGTAAAAACTAACATTTCAATTACCTACAAAATTGTATTTAAGGACTGTCTTAATAGAAGCTGACGAAATATGATTCCCGATCAAATTAAAGCACAACTAATAGTTTTGGTTTATAACCTGTTCCTTTTAACTATTGTTTAAAAATTTAATGTATTGCAATTACTAGTGTCCTACAGTCACATATTGAATCAAGTTAGGACATGTTTATGTTTACTTTCCATTGTTCTTTTTATAAAATAACACCGTGTTTTCATAATTAATAAAACAATATGATTATATATAATTTAAAAATAGGCATTTATAAAAAGTATTAGTTTATATATTTTTTAAAAATCTTAACAACTTATTTTTATTGTATAATAAATTTAAAATAAAATAATAAATGTAAATTTTACATTAAAATCATTAGCATATATTTATCAATTAGTCATCCTCGTTTTAATTTTAAATTTGGTAGATTGTATCCTGCATGATTAGAGACTTGAACTTTAGTTCAATATGGGCTATTCCTTCATACGAAGTATTCAATTAATGATTGTAAGCGGTTGAGGGTCATCTACCTGTCAAAGGCCGACGTCGTATACAAAATTTGTTAATTAAACAATATTTTTTTTTATTTAAAAGTTATTTGCTAAAAAATGCATTTTTAAAAACCATCATTAAATTAAATATATTTTTTAGTAATTACATAGCAAAAAAAATTGCAGATATTTTTCGTGGTTTTCTGATATACTGATTTAGTAGTGTTTATTTACCATAGTTAAAATCTCATTTGATTATATTTTCGAAAACCAACTAGTGGGTGTAGTTTAATATTTGTGCTTATCAGAACTAGTGTTAACTGTGCATGCGCCATAAATAAAGATTTCAATTAAATTGTTCATTGCAAAAACCTTACATGTTCAATTTTTTAGAAAATCATTGTTTGTTTTGTATGTTTATTATTTTTTTGTGTATTTCAATATAAAAATGAATTTTATACTTGGAATATAAGCGGAGAGGAGATATATAACTAAGAAAAAGAATTTTATCATTGCTTTAAAGTACAAATATGTTAATAAAAGTATTTATAGTAATCCTGTTAAATTTCAAATTCATCATATCAGGTCGAAGCCCTAGATCCTTTATTAATTAGTGTCTTCAATTGCTTTGAAATCTTATTATTCGTTTTTTTTCACATTTTAATTCAGTAAATATGAATTGCGCACAATAAAATGTATAAGAAAAGCCGCAATTTTTATAACATTACTTATGTTGCCATCTGATTTAATCGTTCATAAAAGTTAATAAAATATATGAAATTTAATTTTAAAAAGAAATCGATGTCATTTTTCTAATATATTGATGTTACTTTAATAATTTTTATGTTCAACGTCGATTTATTTTAAATTAATTACGAGAGAATTATTAAGTTGTATTTTTTGAAGATGTTGAACATGTCATTAGATTAAAATAATTCAACAATAAATATCATACACGAATTACATAAAATGAAATTAACAAAATATAAATTAATGTGAATTAATTAAAATTCAATGTATTTTGAATGTGTTATGCAAATATGTCGTGTTAAGCAAATGTGGACTGTCCTATAATGATATAAGTAGTTAAATCTCTTAAGGAAATACTATTAAATGCTATTATTAACTATAAAATGTTCAGTATTTAAAAATTAAATTTCAAAAACTTTTAAAAAGTGTATGAAATTGTACAACCGTATAATCTTTTTAAAACTAGGTATAAATTCATTTTTGCCAATTTTTTTAAGTTTTCTTTCAGTACTACCGAACTAACTATCCATTTTACCCTGGGTTCCCCTAATATATTTGAATAGATTATTATAAAATTTGATATAAATCATCAAAACTTTTTGTAGGTCTAAAACATTTTGTGATGTTATTCTTGTGACAGACGATTGGGAAATGATTTCTGCACATAAACATGTCTTAGCATCAGCAAGCACATATTTTGCTGCAATATTCAATGAAAATTTTAAAGAAGGCAAACAAGAGAGCATTCACATTAAAGACATTGATTCCGATACTTTAAAATCATTAATAAGTTATATGTATAGTTTCAAATTGGACGTAAATGAATCAAATGTCAAAGTAAACATGAACATTTTTAATCTTAAAATTCAATTTTTTTTTTTAAAGAAAAATATAGTTTATAGAACTAATTTTATTGATAAATTAATTTTTTTTAGTATTATCATAGTATATTTTTACTTGTACTTTTAAAAGTATAAGGAACTCATTTGATGTAAATAATTATTTTTTACTTTTTAGAAATTATTAAACGCGTCATGTTATTTCAATCTTGATTTTGCTAAAGAGTTATGTTCTGATTTCATAAAACATCATTTAAATCCCACTAACTGCTTAATGTTTATGGAATATGCTAATTTTATTTTAGACTACGACTTATATAATTATTGTTTTTTATATATTTTGAAGAACTTCACGTGAGTAAATTTAGTATATATTTGATCAATGACTTAAATATTTTCTAAATTTTACATAAAAATGTTTAAAAATATTTTATTATAGAACTATTATGGAATCGGAAACAATATCGAAAACATTTTATGAATTAAATTATGATACTTTTGTTAAATTTCTTTCTAGTGATCATTTGGAGGTCAAAACTGAATTTGAGGTAATCTATTATGTTAAAAAATGTGGGTAATTTATTTAGGATAAAACTTTCATTTCTTGGAAACTATTTCTAAACTATTCTTTTTTAATAATTTTAAATTTTTGTAAAACAAAAATTATACAATATGTTGATAAATAATTTTTTTTTCAACCCTTCAGGTTTAAAAATCTTAAGATTTAATCTTCTTTTATGAAAACCCTTTTTATAATTTAATTTTTACTTTGATGATATGATAAAATAAAATTTCAAAAAATGTCATTTTTTTTATCCAATGGACTAGCATAGTTGTAAAAAATACTTTTAAAAAGTATTTGAAATAATACTCAATTACTTTACAAAAGTATTTCAAATACTAAGAATACAATTAAAAAATAATAATAATGTTTTTATTTTAACTAAGAGCAAAAGGTTCCACTTAAATAATTACCAAGAGGGTAATTTGAGTCAAATATTGAGTACTCTTAAATTAAGAGAACTCATTTATTATTTTCGATATTTTTTGTTAGAGGTAAATAAAATTAATTATTGGAGACTAATCAGTGAAAAAAATAAATATTAGTACACGTGTAAAAACCTGTAAAGTATGTCTTATTGACAATAGAGTAAATCATTTGAATCTGCAATAGGCTATTGTAGGTTCAACTGATGTATTAAAAATAGATGTATACATAATAGCATTTAGATAAGCACAATAATTATGTTATACTATAATGTAACATATAAAATAACAGAGAATTATTCTCAATTTTCATTTTGACTGAGTTTAATTTGCTTGCTGTGTTACGGTTAGCAAATTAAAAAAAAAAAGTATATTAATAGTACTGAATATTAAACAGTATTAAATACTAAATAATTGTATTTAAAATACTACTCAGATACTTTTTATTAAATGTATTTAAAAATACTATTCAATACCAATGAAAGTATTTGAATACTTTTATTCAAATACATTTACTCAAATGCTTTACGCCTTTGTGGACTAGTACTAGTCCATGAACTACGTACACTGTACACTAGTACGAGTTTTACCCACCCACAATACATATCCATTATGTATTAAAATGCTGTGAAGGATGAACGGATCATTCTACAAAATAAGTGAATTATTCACTTATTAACAATTATTAAAATGTTTTATTTAAAGTATAAAAAGGATTAGAAATACTTAATTTATGTTTAAAGGTTTTCGAGTATATAACTAATTGGATAGAATTTGATAAACTGCATCGCATGGAAAGTTTACCTAATTTATTAACACATTTAAGATTAGCATCTATTTCAAACATTGATTTAAAGAAAATTGTTTCAGCATCTTTGATAGAAGAAAACTGTACTAGTATGTATATTCATTGTTTACTTAATTAAGTTAATTAAGAGTATATAAAAAGAAACAGAGTTAAACTTTTAAATTCGTTATTTTTTTTTTATAAAAAAAATTAATTTTATTATAAAATATTATGTAATTGACTATGAAATGTTAATTTAATTTAAAATGATTCAGCATAGAGTAATAATTAACAGGATCAAATGGAAATTTGATACTAATTCGATAGTCTAGCGCATTAAAGACGTAAATGATATTTTTGTTGAAAGTGAAAATTAAAGAATGGAATTTATTTACCTGACATGGAAGCAAATCACTAAAACCTTAATAAGTATTTTCTTTTGCTTTAGTCATAAAATTCATTATAAGTCACTCTTTTAATAAACATACCATGATGTTTAATTCGAATTGAATAATGAAAATCATTGTACAAAATCATTATTGATTTTCATTTTATACTGAGCCATATTATACCTATTTTTGAATAAATCATTGGGGAATACTGTACAGGAAAATTATTATCACTTAAATTTTTAGAATGGAATATTTCATTGGAGAAAATATTACTAACGTATATTAAAGTTAATTCCAGTCAAGAAAATACTCGCGTATCATTGCGTATTTAAAACAACGTTTTCTTTAAAAATAAATAAATTTTTTGTGTGGTTTTAAACACTGATGTAACTGAAGGACTCGTAGCTTAGCATTTCAAAAATCAAAAAAATAATTTTAATTGTTTTAAAATAATATATTTTAGGGCTTGGGAAAAATATGTTTAGCCTTATCAAAATTTTTACTATAGTGGCGACTATGGATTTAAATCAGAAGTAAAATTAAATGTTGTTTTTAAGTAATTTCTCTTGTGGTAGTTCTTTTGACGTAAGTATCATAAAAAAGGCACCATCCTTCTTCATGATTTGAAGAATAGTTTTCTATAATTTTTTTTAAACGTTCATTTGTAAATTATAAAATGTTGAGCATAAAAGAAATAAAAAATTATAAAATTCCTAAGAGGTTGCTTAAACGTAACAATTTGCGTACATTCTTGCAATTCGCGATACTGAATTTTAATTAAATTTTTAATAATAGTGCATAGTGGAAGAGTATTTTGGATTTTTTCTTGAAGAGAATTTCCATAAAAGAAATTTTTGTTGACTTTTACATAGTTTTTAAATCATGTAATTTTGTTATATTCTAGGCAGGAAAATATATAGGGAATAGGCCCTCTTTACAAAATTGTTCAAAGTTTACATTATATTTATGAAGCTAAACTTTTTAATATTGCATAAGAGGAAATATATTGTTGTTTAGACGCCCTCTTCCTTGTCCTTTGAAATCCTGGGCATGAAAGTGTTTCTGGGAGAATTTAACCCGAACTCACTTGTAAATATGTCTCTATTATTATTGTCACTCAGTCAAATTTCTTGCTTTACTGTGGTTTTAACAAAATCATGAAAAATATAATTAATATTTAATTTGACAAAATAAATAATGGAACGTTATATTTATTCAACTAGATAGTTGTTTATTTCACTTTTCTTACCCTACAATGTTTACTATATGATGTAATAAACTGAACAATTTCTTATACACCAATGATAATTAGGAAAGTAGATTTAATTTAAAAACGCTCCTCTTTTGTTGTATTTTAAACATTTTGAATAATCAATATTTATCAATGATGATTAAGGTTAATAGGTAACTCTTAAAGTTATACAAAATGTTAAATGAACTTGCTGGCGGAATGTAATCACCTCTTTTGTACGCTTTGTCATCGATTTAAGAGTTTTCAGAGAAGAACAATAAATAATTATAATTATATAATATACTGCTTATTAAATGCTAAAAAATATTACGCCAGTTAAATGGTGGGTTTCAATTTGTCGTACACGAAATGATAATATTATAATAATATAATATAATATGTATAATTTTCTAAATATTTGTAGCTCTATAATTTTAGTATAGAAGTGTTAGAATATTTATTACTATGTTCTTACCATTTATATTATACACGTATTTTAATTTCCTTACTTCATAATATATATATAAGTTAGCATATAGATAGATGCTGATGTGACAATTCTACTTGTTTTTAGCCTGAAGTTACTGACGCCGAACTAACAAAGGGCAGTTGTGTTTGAGTGGCTGTTATAGACATCGTTTTCGAAACTATCACTTGTTTTATTTATATTGTTAATAACTTAGTTTATTTTAATCGACGATTTGTTTATCGCCAATTGTCTTCATAACCAACCATCTACGCCTCACTTGTATATACATACTAAAAACCCGTACTAGGATTGAGGTCAGATGTATAGTACATTACATATAAATTATATTTACTGATGAACGTTTAAAATATAACTTTACTTTTTCATTGACATAAAACAATAGTTTAACTTTATTATATAATCTCTCAATAGTAACTAAGGTACACGATTGTCTGGATCTCCTTCAGGTAATTAAAACTCATTTAAAGAGATAAGGACTATATTTGAACAAACGTCGAGTAGCTTCAGATTTTTGGTTATGACTAAGATTCCTGAGTATTAAACGGAGATCTAACAGAAGGAATAATATATTTGATGACATTAAATGATTACGTGATTTTATTTAATAAAGATGATGTTGAAGTTGTTAATTAGTCTTATTATTTCTATAATTTTATAAACTGTGTTTTTTTTAACTTAAAATGTTATAAAATAGAGTTTTTTTATATTAATAAAATGTATGGAGAAGAAAATATTCCGTCATCTACCAAAAGATGGTGAGTTCAGTTATATTGTTGAGATTTGTTATTTGCACTTCATAAATATCGATTAGCCTTTGTAATAATATAACATTGTTTTAGCTCTCATTGAAAACATACTAGATTTTAAAAAATAGCTAAGAATTATTCATTAAAAAATTTAACATTATTTCATGTTTTAACGTTATTAATTATAATTATCAATATGTTTGTAGCTCTAATCAATTTCCATAGAGAAATTTTTAAAGTAAAACTTTTTTCGGACCATCCTCGTGAAATGCACCGAATACCATTTGATTGGACTGAACTAGATGTAAGTCTTCAATATTATTTTATTTCATTAGAGTTGGGTTGATGTACATTTTTTGGATAAAATGTTGTTCTTGAAGTGAAACTTATTTACAGTGAGCCCGAAAAAAAAAAGATTATCGAGTATCCAGTCAGCCTTAATGTTCGACCGTCATAGACATATTCTATCGTTCTATTAGATCAAAATTTTATTGTTCGATTGACGTTTAAGTTCCATAAAAAGGTGTACGATTAATAAATGTGTGCGTTTTCGCATTAACATTTTTGTTTACAATTTTATGTAATAATATAAATAGACATTTACGATTTTTAATTCATACAATTCGATTTTTAATATTAAAATATTTATTTTCTTTATAAAAGATTTTATTAATTAGATCATCATATATAAATAAGCTAGAAAATTACGTTTATTGTCATTTGATAAATTTAAGTTGTCACTCTTATAAAGTATAAGGGATTAATATAAGAAAATTCTATGATAGAAAAATTGAAAGAATCATTGAACTAAAAGAATAAAAAAAAACAAATTATTAAAATTATTTTTTTATTTTAAATATTTAAGTAGTTAATGATAAGTCAATCATCACCCTTTGTATAATTAATTAAATTTTTAGGTTTTACATTTATTTATATAAATAAATAATTGATATATGCATACTTTTATTTATAAATAATAATAGTAAGTAATAAAGTATATTTTATATTATAATTTAGTATAAAATATAGTAATGATTTTTAAAATGCATTCAATAATTTAAAATAATTTTGATTTTGCATAAAAATCAATTTTTAAAACCACAATAAATGCAATTTTTACTTGATATCTTCATTATTATTATCCTATTAGATCTTTCGTAACATTAGCATAAGATAATTATTATTATTAATAATAATAATAATTTTAGTTTGTCTAGTTGATCCTTATATAAAACCTAATACAAGCTAGTTTTTATTAACCATATATACTTAACATTCTTAAGCGATTTCATTGGAAATTTAGTGGAAAAAAATTTAAAGAATATTAAATTAAAAGATAAAAAAAATTAAATTTTTTAAACCTATCTAAATTATTCAATGGGGGAAGAATTAGATTGTTTTCTATTCATAAAATGTTACAAAATAATATATAATATCTTTAAAATGTTTTCTTTTTAATACGAATGAAATTAAGTTCGAGAAGACTATTAAATTTCCTATATCTGGAGTAATACCAATTGGGAAAATCGTAGTAAACTATAAAATAATTATTGATTTTAAAATAATTAAGGTATGGTAGGATCAAATGATGTGAATACCTAAAAGTTTAATTCGGAAATAAAGCATATTTCACCAAAATGTTTCGTGTTCGCTTTTTTTAATTAACGAAAAGCTATTATTGTTAATTTTTTTTTTTAAATTATTTTATTATATATAGTTGGTTAAATTATAGTAGGCACAACTTTAATAGTCTAGTTGAAATTACTAAATAAATATTATCTTATTATAGTTGAATCAAGTGGTGGAGTGGTTTATGGGTTGAGTCATCCCCAATCAAATATGTCAATTAACCAATTGTATATTATGTCAATAAATATATCGCATTTTTAAAGTGAATAGCAAAAAAAAAATCACGTATGCATATGTGTTACAATGTATGAAATAGTTCCTATGCTAAATAAGACATTCTAACTTGTACATAATTTAGTGATTAAGAATATTTATATAAAATAATATTATTTATTTTATATTTTAATTAAACGAATAGGTTAAAGCAACTGATTGATACATTTGATTATTGAAACTCATACAAAACATTTATTAGTTTGACCATTACGAATTGTTTGATTTTAACTATTTTTTTTATAGTTTATTCAACTCATAGGCATGTCTAGATCATTTTCGTATGTCGTGCTTAAGGGACTCAACGGCGATAGTGAACTTAAGCATCTTACTCTCTTTCATCCTTCTGCTTCTACTCACAATACATTTTATTGTTATGTAAAAATATTTTTAAGTAGGGGGAATACCTTCTTAAACTTAATTTATCAATATAACTAGTTTTATAAAATTAAAATTTACATTACACTCAAATTATCCCCAGTCTTCCTATTATTTAGTTATCTATTTTAATTAAGTGGCATATTAATTTGACATACTAAGTGATAACTTCTTCACTTTTCCTTTATGATTGTCATTGAAACAAAAAGTAATTCTGTACTACTTTGACAAAAAATATCTATCATCAAGAAGGGATTTTTGAGTGATTTGGAAGGTGGAACACTCCTCTACAATTTTTTTATTATTGTCGTAATGCAGAAGTTCTAGAAAACAGTTATTGACACAATGGTACAGAATTCTTAGTAAAAAATTCTAATATCTAATATTCTAGAATCTAATATATTAGATTTTACTTAGTTGACAAAAATTTGGCGTTATTAAATATTTAGATTGATGTATTTTATCTGTGTAAAAATGTGCATGTTTTAATATTGCAGATTATTATTGTTGTATTTGAACCAGAAAACGAAAGCTTTACAAATGAATTTTTGTTTACTGATGCACTAACTTTGAATTGGAAATTATCAACTAAAGCATTGTTTACTGCAAAAAGAAGTGAGTCGCAAATTGTCTCTATCAAAAATAGATTTTTACTTTCTATCGGCGGAAGAGATGACAAATGGAATCTTGTAAATTCAGTTGACATATTTGACTTTATGTCATTAAAATTAAATTGGGAATCTACATCTCCTATGAAAATTGGAAGGAAAAATTTTGCAGTATGTTCTTATGGAAAATGTGTCTATATCGTAAGTATAATTAAACTATACTTCTCATGGTAAATTATATAAATATGCGAATGTTTTGGGTAAATACTTTTTTACAGAAGTATATTTTGGGGTTGCAATGTATATTATATTATATTTCTATTAAAATTAATTAATTTTTTTATCATTATGTTTTAATTCCAGCGAATTAGAACTAAAATATAAAACATATTGATACAAAAATGACCATGGTCTTATTTTTTTCCATTAGTAGCGGAGTACGCATGATTTTTAAGGAGGAAGCTAAACATATTTTATTTTATTTATTACATACTATTATTAGTGTTAATGTGTAAATGGGGGCATATAGCACTTTTAGCTCCCCTTGGGTACTCTACTATGTTGAGAGACTATGACTTCTTTCTTTCAGTCGTGTATTATTAACACGCTTATATTAGTTTCACCTGTATGTATGTTTGTTTGTAACTTTCCAAGTGCTGCGTGTTATCATTCTCGCGTATCCCGTCGTTTATGGCCGTCGTGTATGCTTTACGACAATCTAGCCTCAAACTAGACTGTCGTAAAGCATTCACCCCACCCCGTTCACCTCACACCAACAATACTATTCCTGTACAATTTTAATTTTGGTTTTCGTACCCGTACATGCGCATGCGTGTCATCAATATTATTATATATATTAACAAGTTTTTATTGTTTATTATGAGATATGAACCTTAAAGGTTCATTTTTTTTTGAATTTATATACATGTTAATACATAAGGGATTACAAATACAGGTAGCTAATTGTTTTTTTATGACGATATTCACAGGTATATAGCCTTTATTATCAATAGTAGTAAGACACAGTTGTGTGTTTATAAATACACTAACTGCCAATACAGAAATTATATCTATTGATAGCCATAATTGACAATAAACACTCCGTGACTGTGACAGCGATGTCATAAAAAACTAAAATGTGAAAAATAAATGTAGTTTAAAAAACTAAAAAAACACGATTTTAACTTTTTAATTCGATGTGCTTTAAAAGCGTGTTTTTTTAGTTTTTTAAACTATATTTATCTTAGATTCAAAATATCACTAAAATGTTTCTTTATTACTATATTCCTCATAATTTTTTTTTTGATAACCACTGTTTCACTAGATTAAAGAGCTTAACAGCCCCGACAACACGTCGGGGTTTTTTGATAAAATACAAAAATAAAGTAAACTCAGTTATTGATAAAAGAGTCCAACACATATATTAGTGCAAAATTGAATTAACTCTGGAAAATATTTTGTAGCTGATCTCTGAATTTTCTCATATGCTCTAGATAAGGATTGGGCTATAGGTTGCATAAGGATTGAATACGGCTTCATTAATAATTTACTAGAAATTTCTTTTTAACAATATATTATATTATATAAATATATAATAAACTTTAAATTTTTTTATTATATTTTAATAATTATATTACTGAATTATTCAGTAATAATTTTTTTTTAAATAAACCTGTATTTAGACAAATGTATTAAATTTAATCTGTTTTTGTGAACTTATAATTTTGGAAATTTTTAGAACAGGAAATTTGTTTTAGATTTTTAAATAATGTGAGTGGAAAATAATCAATGATCATGAAACTTAAATTTTATATATAATTGTATATTTTAATAGTTGATTTATGTTTTACAAATTTAATGTAAATTTTATAAGAATATTTAAAATATATTATTATGGTATTAATTTAAGCTAGTTCCGTGCGCGATTCACAAACTTAACAATTATGATGTCTTCGAATTTTATCGTCCTATAAAAGGGATTTGGGAGGTATGTAACCTCCACAAAATTCTTAATTTGTGTAATTATAACTACGTCTTCGGTTAAGATATTCCTAACCCAGACTGAATCTCGATTATTTTATTAAAACTTGTTATCTGTGTAATACTGATAATTTTATTATTGTAATAATATAAGAAAATATTACTATATAAAAAAAAATATTATTTGATTTTTTTGGAAATCGCTTAAATAATTTTGACTGTAGCATTCTTAAACATTGTTATTTATTTTGAAAAATAATGTATTTTGTCATATATACAAGACAAAACAGTTTCATTAAAAAAAATAATTTCCAGGTTGGAGGTACAGACAATCATGGTATAGAATTAAATACTATTGAATATTATGACATTATAAATAGGGAATGGAACTTAATAGCAGAAAGAATGACTTTTCCTAGATACAGTTGTGCAGCTGTTTATTATAAAGAATGCTTATACGTTGTAAGTAAAACAATGAATATAATTATAACAATTAAAATAAAATTACTGTAGTATAGGCACCTACATGACAAAATTTGACTGTTAATGAAAATTTTATTTTATGTTCCAATATAGGGCTTTAAATCCGAGTTAATTTCAATGCTATAATTATATTCAAATAAACACCAAAAACTAATAATATAAAATACCATTTATAAAAAGAGGTTCTATTTCAAGCTAATTATCATAATTTAATTTTTATTAAATTAGTAATATTTTAGCATGCTACAGTTTAAAGGTTTACTTGCATCCTGTACTATTTATAAAAAAAAGGCCATCGGATGGCAATAGCAATCATACAGCAACGCTACTGATAAATTTTTGATTCTATGGTTTTCTTATAAGTTAATAAGTTACCTTTTTTATTTATGTTTAAATTTTAAATACAGTATTTTCTAGGAATACGGGAAAAGTTATTTTAAATTATTATATTTACTTGGAAAACTTGTACAAAAAAAGTTATAAATAAATTTAATAATAATTTTGAGCTTATAATACCTATAAAAGCCAATACGCTAAATACTACTGTCTGCAGATCACTTTACTAAGAATTCTTCTAGTCTCCCAAAAATTTAATCAAATGTTTGTCATAGTTATTAAAGAGAAGAATTATAACTTTTAATTAAATCATTTGAATGACATACAACGTTATTGAAATTGTAACGAACTACTATAATTTGGCTACAAATAGAACAATCATCCACCATTGCCAATAATTTAGGTAATCTTTTTATTAACCACCGATGTCTAATTCTCTGAATAATGATGCACGTAAGTTAAGATACTCCTGCGTTACCATTACAGCCATAATCTCTCTCTCTTGCCCTTAAAGATTTATAGTTTTTTTTTCAAAATCAATTTATTTCCTATTAAATAACAATTTTATTTAATATTTCGAGAAATATCTACTAGGGACGAAGGTTTATGAGAGAGGGATAGAGTTGAATACAAAAGTGTCCACTCTATTATTTTTAATATAATTTGATGTTAAGTAAAAAATTTTCGCTATAGTAGGAATTGGACTCTTCGAACTTTCCTTAAATACGCCTCTGTGATTTACTAATATATTGCATTTGTAGCTCATCACGAATACAATTAAAGTTAAAAAAAAATATATATACATATATACAGAGTAGTCGGTATATGATAAACCGATTACCAAGCCTCCTTACTTCCAGTCTTTACTTTAAATTGTTAATAACTTCTGAAATACTGGTTCAATCTTGTTATCCACCCGTCATTTTTTTAATAAGATTATTTGCTATTTTATAAGTTAGATATGTATGTTGCCATTAAAAAAAAAATGATACAACTTAAAAATATAAAAGATGATTCTAAAAAGTAATTATTAGCTAATAAATCAAGAATTATATATAATAAAAAAAACAAAAAACAAAAATCGTTTTTCCAATATTTTATTTATTTTGAGAGTAATTGATTGATTGGATTCGGAAAACACGATCACTGTGAATATATTTTAAATTGACAACTCAATATAAATGGCTTAATTATTCATAATTTTAATCTTCAAAATTATTAATATTTTTTGTTCAACAAAGTTTGGAGGACAAGACAGTACAAAAATGTATAATTGCGTAGAAATTTATGACTTTAAGAAAAAGTGTTGGTCACAAATTGAACCTATACCAAAGGGAATGGCTCTGACATCTATGAATACTACAATATTAAATAATATAGTTTATTTTATTGGCGGATGTCAAAATGAAAAAGACGAAGACGAGTAAATATTATTATAATTTTTAATTAAATGTATTTTGTTTGTTGGAAAATTTTTATTACCTATGAAATACTTAAAATATATATTCACTTGTATTTTAGCTTGAACGAAGTTTCAAATGGCGTTTTTAAATTTGATTTGCAAAGTCACATTTGGACTCAAATGCCCAATTTGAATTGGGAAAGAAAACGCACAAGTTTGTAAAAAAAAAAAAATCATTAAAATTCAAACATTTGATATTTTTTTTTGTAGATGCCGTTTTTATAAAAAATGATTTGTTTGTATTTGGTGGATACGATAAGTATGATGACGTAGTACCAATTAGTGAGAGATTTTGTTCTGAGAAAAATGAATGGAAAGTTATTGAATCTGCTGATATTGATTATTGTGTTGAAAATGCAATTTATCTTAATTCTAAGCAGCTTAAACATTTGTTAGAAGTAAATAATATAAAAAATTACTTTGGCAAATAAAGCTATACTTGGTAGTTACTAGTTTTTGACATTTAAAATCCAAAGAATAATGAACTAGTAAATGTAACACTAGTAATTAGTTTTTTTTACTTATTGTTTTTGTATTAATTTTTAAAAGCATTTGATTTATATTATGTTTATACACGTTTTTTTTTTTGTGATTATTTATGTTTATGTTTAATTAATGAGATTGCATTTGTTGTAAAATTAATATTATATTTCAAGATATTCAGCTATAGTAGGTTTATAACTTAGTCGAAATTCATGAAAATGAATATGAATATGAATAACAAATATGAATGTTAAATTCAAATCTTGTCAAATCTAATTTTTTTATCGCAGACATTTTTCTTTGTAATAAAATAATTATTAAATTAATTCCATTTCAATTTTTTTAAAATAAAAACTAATAATACTTTTCTTTTAACCCATCAAATTTTTTTTTTAAATGTTTTATAAAGTACTTGATTGTTTTATATTAATCCTTTTAAGAGATACTGTATTTTTGCTTATATGTTTAACAAATATTACGAGATTTGAAAATAATTCAATTCAAGTTATCTATCTGTAATATATAAATAAAAAACCTAGCACAGTAGGGTCGCGGTACAGTGTGGACGTGACATAGTTGGGTCCAGTATAGATTTAATCTGGCAGTGATTAAAATCACTATAATAAGAAATGCTTCGATGCAAATCTGTAGATAGTATTTAATCCTAAGAAATTGGTGGATAATTACAAAAGCAACATCATCTTCTATTTCCTTAATTAAATCCAGATTAGTAATTTTTAGAATCAAAAATATAATTTTTAATTATATATTATATAATTTTAGCTTCGATGCGAAGCTGAGAAGGTATTGGTTTTACTATGATGTGTTTTTTTTTTTGTGTCTGTTACCACTTTTTCTCGCTCTCACCGAACCGATTTCTTATGAAGTTTAACTTCATAAGTTTTATGAACTTTATTGTATGTCAATTAAATTGTATAATATTCATGAAATACAGTATATTCCACTTGTAAAGTATTTTAAAACAAAATAAAATACAAAAAAAACCACAGAATTTTAACACAAAAATAGCATATTTTTGAATACTGTAGCCATTTTTACCAATAAGAAAATCTATATTACAAATTTTTTTTTCTTCTGTTATTTTTTGAAAAAGTTAAGGATGTTTTAAGAAAAAAAGTAAAAAAAAAACGTCAAAAATTACTGATTTTTATAAGGGGTTTCCTACTGTACTTCTGTTTTTTTTATTATTTGTCTTTAATAAGAATAAAATAAAAAATATTTTTACCCCTTTTTTACAAAAAAAAATGCTGTTGGATCGGTTGAAAAATTCATCGTTTGTGATCGTAGCTGGCCTTATTGTTTGAATAGGACAAGTTCCAACCTTATATGCAATTCGCTTAAAAATGTTTAAAAATTTAACGCAATTATAAGGGAAATTTGTATAATGAGTTAAGTTCTGATACTCTACAATTGTAATTTTTTATTTATATTGCAATTTCTATAGGAGCGATATTAAATTTAAAAATATTATTAGGTTTTCTCTTGGTGTACAACCAAAGAATAACTAAAAAGGGCACATAATAAACAAAATCACAATAATGTCCTTTATATTTAAAATGTTTATTAATAAAAATATTGTTCGGTTTGAATAATTTAATTCGACCGTCGTTAATGGCTACTTAAACTTGAAATTTCTATTGATTTGTAAGAGGTTATTTTTTGAAATAACATTTTGCTTTAACAATACACTCGACACAGAAAATATTTTATATAAAAAACTATAGTGAAAATATTTTGTTTTATAAAATATTGTGTCTGCGTTTCTTTCTGATTTACTAAAAGTATGATGAAAATAATTCATCCCGTTCTATCATCACGTAAGTAACTTAATTTAATTAGCTATGATATTATTATACAACTTTAAATAACAAGTTTGTACATGGATTACACTAAAATTTAATACAACTTCTTTTCGTTTGACAAAATTATTAAAAATAATTAGCCAATATGATAGTTTTAATAATAAATAATATTATTTTACAGCTACCCAAAAATTTTTCTGGATCAATAGTAAATTGATGATTATCAAGTTTCTTCGTCGTAAGTATAATAATAAATAATAAATTAATACTTTCAATAACAGTTTTAAAAAGTAAATAATACAGTACACTTATCATATATTTATATAAAACAATAATTTTTTTTGTTTTATAGTTCTGAGATTTATTCTTTATGCTGTTCAAGTTGCAACAAGGTAAGTAAAATAAATTATTTTAAACTCGTCACAAAATTATATGTTTTAGAAAGTAATAAAATAATATATTTTAAACAGTTTTGCAATAGTCATGATAGAAAGGTTGATTGAGCATTTTAATCGCAATGTGAATTTCAATGATAATATTCCCTATATGGAATATTACGTGGATGCAGAAAACCAAACAATAGTAATACTATACATGAGAATTTTTTGTTTACTCCTTATTTAGTGTTACTTGTTTTTGTTGTTTCGACTAAAATTGTATTTTATACTCAGAATGAGCAACAAAATTTCCTAACTTCAACAAATGAAGTCGTTGACCAAGTGAACATTTCTGATACCAATGATTCACCATTCATTGAATCGAATGGTCAAAATGCATCACTCGTGCCCATCGAAAATGTGAGTACCTATTTTCGTTTATAACTTCTCCGAAATATTTTACTATTAAATTCACATGTATTATACGTTTTTATTTATATGAATATCAAATATAACTGTAATCTATTTTCGTTTACCAGGACAATACTACAACGAAGCAACATCAGATAACTCAGGTCACAGAAGATGAAAAAAGATTTATGATGAAAGATATGCCAAAGTTTAACTTGATTATAAACCACTTGATTATAAATCCTCTAAGAGTGCTTTACACTTCTAAAGATTATCTTTTTTTGGCTAAAGTGAATGAAGAAAAATCCATTAGGTCACTTGAAAGACGCATAAATGCGTTTTACAGTTCCTATGAGGAAAAAACGTACGCCCCACAACTGGATGAGCTATGCGTTATTAAATATAGTAATTAACTCTTAAATTATTTAATTTAATATAAATTTTAAAATTAATCCATAGGTAAAAGTGTTATTGCTCTAGATTTGTAATTTTAATAGTAAACAATGTTGCTCAAATCACCAGTTTCATTTAGTTCTTATTGCTATTAGGTGAAACTATAGCTAAGTGATTAATTAGTTATAGCTTTAAAAGATTTATTTAATGCATAACAACCCGGAGTAAAAAAAAATTTGAATCAAAATAAAATGTATCAATAAGCTTTAATAATTATTTTTTTTCTTAATTTTAGACGACGGTAAGTGGTACAGAGGCATTTGTAAAGCTATTAATGATGATTTTAATGGAAAATCGACTTTTTTTATATCATTGCTTGATTGGGGCGAGTTTATTAATGTAAATGCTAACAATATACGTAAAATACAGCCATTTTGTACTCAACACACACCTTTAGCAATTAAATGCGTTCTTAGAGGTAAAATTTTACCATGACAACATTAGGTTGTTTTTTTTTAATATTTATCCCAATACTCTAATAAAAGTGCATTAAAATTTTTTTCAGATTTGAAACTTTCACGTGTTCCGAAGAAAATCTTATGGAAACTTTCAAACAAAGTTTTCAATTGCAACATACTTGCTAGAATTGGACCAAATTATTATGAAATTAAATCAAGGCAGATAATTAGCTTATTTAATAAATAAATATTAATTAGTTTCATCTAGTCAGCACTTTATATTTAACCCGCTAATATAATTTACATGTAATTAATTTTTAGAGAAAATTTCTCAATTTCTTATTATATTCTTTATAAAGTACAATTCTTTTAAATTATTTTGAAACAATTAATTAAAACAATTCGTGAAATTAAATCTATTATATGTACACTTTAAAATAAATTTAAAAATTAAATTAAATTAAAAATGTATTATTAAAGTTATGTTCATTTAATTATATTATGTACATACATGAGAACGTGTTCTATCCATTCAAGCTACCTACTCTATGTTTTACTTTTGGAAAAATATTTCAAATTTAGTTAGACAAATTTTAGTGACAATATTAAAAATCGAAGAAAGTTGCTTATTGATGCAGTTACATTGAGAATATTTTTAAAATACTCTTAGAAATATTTACGCATCTTGAGTTTTCAAAATTGGCCAAATTGACATAAGTTATTGGAATTCTATTTTACTAAGTACTTACAACCTTGTTACTTTGAAAGTTTTAATCTATGAACAAATATTATTCTACTATTATAAAAGTAGCAACAATTACTTATGAAACATGATAACTATGAACAATTGTTTAAATTAAAACGATATTTACAGGGAATTTTTAGATACTATTTTGTATTCGTTTGTAGAAATAGTAAAATTTAATGAATGGGAAACATTTGAAATCCACGCTTAATTTAACATCAGAAATAAAAAATTGTTTGACAATTAATACAGTTTTACATAGTTAATAAAAATAGCTATGTTCTTAACTGCTTGAAAGCATTTGATTTACTTAAACATAGTTCTTGGAAATAATTCTAAAGTTCAACGATTGATATACCTCAGTAGTATAAAAACAGTAGTATCCATATTAAGGGCGTTTTCCATTTTGAAAATTATGCTTATGCTATATAAGCAATAAAAACATTAGAAAAACGCATTATAGAAAAAATAATGAGTAATCGAAAACAATTGTAATAAGAATCATAATACACATTATATCTCACTATAGTTCAATTATAACTAGCGATAAGATTACAATAATAGGAATTATATTACTGTCGGCTTACAATACATAATAGTTTTTTTTATGTCCATTTGTTTATTTATTAATTGTAATCTCCAACCGTTTATTACTAACTTTTATGATCAACAAAAAAAAAATCTATAAAATGAGAAAAATTTATTTTCACATAATTCTTATAAATTAGGACGAAGGATGCTGAAGCACCATCAGCTACTCCATAAGTTATGCCCATGATAGGTTAAAAGTTGTTATCAGTCAGTTTTAATTAGATCATTTTTATTTTAAGAGCTAACTAAAATTATATTTGAACGGTCTTTACAACGGTTATAAATAATTGTATTCCAGATATACAATAATAACACACACACACACATAAAATAATAAAGTAGTAAAAATACAAAAATTAATGCCTTTCCTAACCAGCGACGAAGACGATTAGGCTCAAACCGTCAGTTCTTCAAAATCCCCCTTTCTTAATTTAGACTCTCTTTTTCAAATGTGTTGTTTCTTACTAATTTGTTTATATATTTACTGATTCTCTAATTTTTTACAATTTTTGTTGGCATAATTTAAATTTAATATTTAAAATTAAAATTCCATTAAAAATAAAAAAAATAAGAAACACTTAACCAAAAATTAAGTAAAAATCGCGAATACGATCTAGAACTATATCAATATCAACGCTAAAACATACTAACGCTAAAATTTAAAAAACTACCAAATATATATAATTTAATTTTTTTAATTTATTTTTAACTTGTAACGATTTTCGAAAATATAATATATTTAACTCATTAATTTTCTTAGTTATAATAATTGTAATATTATTATGACTCTCAATTTTTTACATATTAATAAGAATTATCATATATGTAAGAAATAAATTACTATTCCAAGAAACAATATTGTAACATAATTTTTGACCTATCAAACATCAAATTATTTAAATTATTGAATAAAAATTAAATAATATTATTTACAATTAATTATTATGAAATAAGCTACCTAGCTAACTTTTGAGATTTTCTGATTTAAATCTAATCATTTCAATGATCTATAGAAAAATCAATGAAATTACTGGTATCCTGTCTAAATTCAATTCCAAAATAATTGTTATTTTCTTTATCTTGAAATTGATAAGTATAATTTTCGTTTACCGTTTCAAAATTAATATTACATTCCAATTTATCATTATTGTTTTCACATCCTCCCGATTGCTTCACAATAGTTCCGTTATATTTGGTATAAATTATTAATCCAACTAATTTACATTTCAGATCATTGCCTTCGCTGCACAACTTTTGTTTAGGTAGAATTTAATTTTTTTACTCGATTATAAATTGAATTTTACAAGCAAAATAGAAATGGATAATATTCATTTGTGATGAAATTATTTAAAACTTACAATAACTACCAGATTTCAAAAACTCTGTAGCATAATATACCATTGATTGTTTTCGTTGAATAACCGCTACGTCATATGGTATTTCACTGCTTTTAGACAAAACTTTAAAAAAATAGAATATCAAATATTACGTTAACAAATTTATAAAATTATTATTTTATGAAACATATCTGTGCCCTTTTTTTTGAATCTTGTGTATCAGTTATTGAAAAACTAGTTAGATTGAAATTTATGTCAATTAATACTTCAAGAGGGCAAAATCAAATAAAAATTTTAAAGTAGATTATAGCTGATTAATATTATGCAATGCAACAAACAAAGCCTTACCAATAAAATCGGGTTGTCATTTAGTAAAACATTCTATGTGCTTTAACATAGATATTTATATTTTCATAAAAATTTCAAAACCTTATTTGGCCAAATATTAGCTTTTAAATATAAGTTATATACAGAATACATTAGAAACCTTTTTCACACTCTATGAATTTGTATTCTCAGAGATTTATATCATATTTCAGCCTCATTACATTTGTCACTTAATAAATACACGTTATAAAATTATTATTGACCTAAAAATTTTTTTTTGTAAAAACAGTTCTAAAAAATGGCAATTTTAAATTTTTAAAAAATTTTAAATTAAGACTAAAACTATTTTTATGATTATTATTAAAAGCATATTACTTAATATGTTAAAAGTTTTTAAAAAATATGACTTTATCGTTGTCTAAGAATGAATAATTTTTTTTTTCGTGTAATACTAACTAAAATTATTTGTTAAGTAGATCAAAAGTTATTAGATTTGTCAAAACATCGTGGATTATACTGTATACGAAATGAAAGGAGAAATAGTAATTTTAAATTTTAGCGTGACTTATGTTTTTGATTTACAGTGTATTTAATTTTGAATAATAATTATAATAATGTCAATCTCATAATCTCAATAATCTCATAATAATGATCAAAGTAACTTCCCTATATTGTATTTTATCTAAAAATTTAATTTTAAAAAATATCTATTTTTTAACTATAAAATTATACCATTAATTATATACATCAAACAATTACATTTCTTTTTGGGTTTTAATTCCTCAAGTGTCTTATCACCTAGAAACATAAAAATAACATAAGTTTTATTGTAAATTATTCAAATTTCTCTTAATATAGTTTTCAAACATTAAAAAATATAATGTGCGAAATGTTTGTTTTACGGAAAAACAGATGGCGGAAAAATGTATTCCAATCTAATTTCTATGCTTTGCCGGTATAACCAATTTTCCATGTTCATTTTTGATTAGAGTACTAGGTGTGTTAAATAAATACCCAGACTACAATTATTATAGAAAAACGTTTGATGTTTTCGGTAATGTTTATATATCAAAATAAACTAGAGATAATGACCATTATTTTAGTATATAATAATAATTATTATCTCAAATCAGTCATTGACAATACGCGTTCAAAGTTGGTAATTTTGTATGAAATCGCAATTTCACGATGGACAATATTACGGAGCAAAGTGTGTGTTTCAAAATTGGTAAAAATGCTACGGAAACTTTTGAATTGATTAAATTGGCTTTTGGAGATGTTTCACTACATTAATTGGTACTTGTCATTCGATTTTATCAGATGAATTGGGTATGAAAAGAGTGTCCTCAAAATTAGTGCCAAAGTTGTTAACCTTGGAGCAAATGGAACATCGCATTGAAGTTTGTTTGGAACTAAAAAATCGGGTTACTAATGACCCAAATTTTATATAATCAATTATTACAGGTGATGAACACATGGGTGTATGGATATGATCCCGAAACCAAAGTTCAGTCATCGCAATGAAAGACTGCAAATTCATTTCGTCCAAAAAAATATCGTCAAACATTAAAGCAATGCTCATTGTTTTTTTTCGATTTTTTTGGTTTAGTCCATTATGAGTTTGTACCTACAGGACAGAAAGTAAATCAAGTATTTTATAAACAAATACTAGAAAGATTAAGAGAAAAATAACGCCATAAAAGGGCAGAAGCGTGGAAATCAAAGTTGTGGTTTTTGCACTAGCGCATTCAGCACTTTCCATTCGTGAATTTTTGGTATCTAAAAATATACCAGTGGTACCTCACTCACCACATTCACCTGACTTATCTCTCTGTGATTTTTTTTTGTTTCCAAGACTAAAAAGTACCCTCAAAGGCCAAAGATTTGAGGACATCAACGAAACTATCCAGAACGCGACACAAGAGTTAAATGCTATAACTATGGAGGACAAGGTGGAGGACAAGCATTCAAAGGTGTTTCAAAAAGTGACAAGACCGTTGGGAGCATTGTATCGAAGCTAAAGGACACTATTTTAAAGGTGATCCATTTAAAATCAATTTTGTCTGGGTATTTATTGAATACACCTCGTATAATGAAATACATAAATTTTATGTATCCCAATCATACTAGTTAACTAATAATTTCTTATGTTCTAAAGTATTAATTATTTGAAAGTTAAGTTTACATCCAAGTTACCCAGATATTACATAAATTTTATCATAAATATGTACTCTTATTTTAAGTTTAATATTTTCATTATTTAAATAATGTTACATTTAACAACTAATATATTCTGTGATTTTACCACAATGTTCAAACTATTTTTTTAATACTTTAGCGATTTTATTTCGTCCCAAAGCAAAATTTTAGTTAATATAATTATTATTACTTGCGGTTTCCTTTTTACATCACATGTAATGAAATATATATGATGAAATATAAATTATCGTTGTAACCTCCCAAAAAATATTAAATTATATAGTTAAATACTTTTATAAAAGTTACATTTAGTCAAAAAAATTAAGTTTAATTTCGGAGAGTATAATTCTCTTGATTTTGAGCAGTTTTGCTTAGATTTGTAAAATCATATTAGCTCTATTGAGAATTTTTGGGTAAAATAATAAAAATGAATTATTTAAGAATATACTGGTAATTACAATATATTTCAAAATAAACTTTGCTAATAGTTCTTAATGTTTTATGTAGGGATATTTAACAAAAGAAGCAAAAATATGTATAAATAAATTTCAAATGGACGGATAATTAAACTTTACAACAAAAAAAATGTATCGTACCGTAAATTGGCAACAAACATTGACGCAATTCATCCTCATTTTTTGCTATTAATTCAATCATTTTATCTGAAATTTTTATAAAAAAAAAGATGTTCTAATATTTATAAAATTAATGAACAATATATTGTAATTACATTTTCTTTTAGTAAAGATAAATTAATTATAATATTTAAAAAAAAAATTAAAAATATATAATACAAAATGAACACCAGAACATATTACTAAATAATAATAATTTTACTATGTAACATAATAAATTAAGTGCTAGGAAAATCAATTTAATTTATAATCTCAAATTTATTATTTATAAAGCTATTAATTAAAAATCTATTCGATAGTAATAGGCATTTTTTTTTACATTTATCAACGGTTAGATCTACTTAACCAATAATGTTCATTATAATGCCTTTAAATAATAAATACTTTTTGGACAAGTTGTTAGGATGAATTCATCCTAACATTTAATTTGATTGGCAATTTAAATTGGTTAATAAACAAATTTTTACCTTTATGGTTATTTGTGTTGTCTATATCTTCAAGAATAAAAAATTACACGCATTACAAAAAATTAGATATTTAAAAATTTTTCAATTATTATTTAATAAAATTTCTTTTTTGGTAGTAGTCTAAACAATTAGTAGTAATGTTGATATTAGTAGATAGTGTTTGAAATATGTAATTTTTCATATTGGTAGGGAATTGTTTATAGTTATTGCCATTTTAGGAAAATTATTTAGGTTGAAATTGGTTTATACCGCCTGTTAAAAAAAAAAGCGACATAACTCAATAATAACAAATTTTACAGAAGAAATTAAATAAATAGACAATTCTTCACAATTTAAATGTGATGAAGATTTATATTATGCATTTATTGGTTCCATTTAATTGATATCCATTTTTAAAATTTAATATAACATTTTTTATGGCAATAAAACAGTAAAAATTTTGACATAAACAAAATTAGGATAAATACAAAAAATCGAATTAATTATTTAAAAAAATAACCATGAGAAATTTAATATCTTCTCACGAGACGATATTAATAACGATATTGATCAGTTCTGCATCGAAGATAAAATAGTTATTTCAAAATATAATATAATACCATTTATTGGTAAACAGTAAAAATGTACAAATAACTATACAAAATCTCTATATTAAAAGTGTTTTATTTTTTCCACTCACATGGTGGAATAATTCGTTTTATCATATCATCTGAAATAATTTATAGTTATACATATCAAAATAAAATTTCTAAGATTGCAAAATATTTATTAGAAGAGCAATGCGTATCCTATTTTGTTTTCATACCCCGTGGAAATTTAATTTAACTCATGATTTTTTCTATTCTCAATAATTTGAAAAAATACTTACTTGTCTTAAGTCAAAACAAAGTACGTTTTAAAAACACCTATTTAAGATTAGTATACAGTAATATTACATTTAAGGTAATACTATAGTTTAATCATATAGGTTGTTCAGTAAGTAAGGAAAATAGTTTCTATTGTTTTCATTGTTTTCATTGTTTGTAGTAATTTACCCGTTTTCTTACTTTTTGAACTTCTGTATAATTATTTCAATTTTAACATACAAAATGAAAAATTATTATCATTATAAAGATAGATATTTCATTACCATAAGTAAACTCCTAAGTACATTTTACAAGCTATAACTTGTATATGGTTAGGTATATACATATACTTAAACTGTCTCGGTAAAAGCTAGAAGATTAAATATATAACCTATATTTAATAAAGCTTGTAACACAAGAGACCCTCAATAATCACGGAAAAGATAATCCCTAGTCGCTCAAAATAAATAGAAACATGTATCTGTTTAAATACAGTATTTATGCTTATCGACCCTCCATACTAAGGTAAATAAATTTTTCTATAAGGTAGTAAACCAAAAATTAAAGTTGATAATTGAGAATCTTTAACTTTTTGTCACCGAACGGTATACGGTTTAAAACATTACCATACTATCGAAAACTACTGTGGTGGACATTGTTTTTCGCCTTCTTGAAAATTACAAATTCTATGAATACAACACAAGAAGGGATAATCTTGTGAAAAGCAAAGATCCAATTATGGAAAAAGAACAAGAAAACAACAAAATGAAGCTCTTATAGCAAGAAAGTTGGTTATTGAAAACCATAATTAATAATGATAATATTATCCACAATAATAGCGAAACGTATAATGGAACAATAGTACCAGTGAATGGCCTGTATCTTTTGTCGTTCTTCTAATAACTAAAACTTGACTAATAAAGCTTAAATTTCAAGTTAAGTAAAATATACAATTTTATGAAATAGGTAAAATATTTATTTTAAATGTAATTTTTACAATACTATGTTTATAACGAATTAAATTTGATTGACTCAGTTTACACAGTTGCATTTTTTTTTTTTGAAATTTTAAAATTTTTCTTACCAAAACTTAAATCTGCAAACTGAGATAAAATTTTTCCCACTCGAAGATGCCGCTCTATAAAAATATATTAAATTATTATACATTCTTGAATACTTTCTAATCGAAAAATTACCCATTCTCAGTAAGTCATATGAATTTAATACTTTATCTAAAAAAATATTTGTTAACATAATTTAATAAAAATTATTAGGTACAAACAGCAAAACAATCAAAATTTTATTTCTGAATACCATTAAAAAAATAATAATGTGTTATATATTAGCGAATAAATTACTAAGAAATAATGTAATTTTAAATTATGTCAATGAGCATATCTCCAAAACAAAAATAATATATTTCGATATTTTTAGATTTAATTTTTTGAAAAATCTACACTTACAATATTCACACATTATTAAGTGTATTTAGAAAAAAAAATTTCTTTAAATAATAGTTTAAGAACCTATTTTCATACTTAGCTATAAAATATTATTTCTTCCCTTTAAGAAATTCTCAAAAATTAGATGCGTGATTTTAAAATGAAGGCGGTGATTTATTAGAATTATTAGTAATTTTTCTCGGTTGTTCTGAAAACATGTGATTTCATCTAATAAAGTTTAAAAGTTAATTTTTAAAAAAATTAACTTTAAACACTATATACTGTCGTAATATGCCTAAAGCTTTGCATTACGCATCTTCCTTTTATTTATGAAATATTAATAATCTATATATAATATCAATTGTATACAAACAAATAATTTATTTATCTGTCATAACCTATGCACAAAAAATTATTTAGTTTTTGTGTTTACTGAATGATTTATAAATATGGAGAGAACTGGTTGTTGCACTGTACCCATCAATAATTTATCTGACAAAAATATACCTTACTTGTAAATTGTATTTCTAAAGCAGCATCTGAAGTAAAATTTATGATTAATTTCCAATAATTAAATTCATAGAATATATGAAGTCGTTGTGAAATATAGATAATTGTGTAAATAATATCGTAGATAAAAAACTAGATATTACACAAATATTCTATATAATATAATAATTATAAGACATTAGTTTCATGCTACACTAAAATTATTCAAATTAATTTATAATTTTCAAAAAAGTTACCAAAAAAATAATTTTTCATTATTTTAAAAATCGTATACATATTATAGAACAGTTAATTATGAATACGAATTAAAATTAAATAATCAATTTATAATTGTTTAAATAAAAAACGCTTCGTTGCAAATCTATCAATACTGTTTAATTTTTAGAAGGAATTATTGAATTATTCCAAAAGTAATATGAACTCCTATGTTATTGATTATATTCTGATTACAAGTTTTTTGATTTATAAATATAATACAAGAATAAGTTTCACAGCATCGCATCGAAGCTAAAATTATCTGGGTAATATTGCGCATTTTATACGGGAAAATCATGCACACTTATTAAACATGGACTGTCATATTTAATAAATAAAATTTAAAATTTATTGAAATAATTTGCAATTGTTCTTCATCCGTATTTAACAATTCCAGGTAAATTTTATAACTCAAAAAGGGCTGATCAAGGGGACTGGAGTCTATGTTCCCTAAAGTTTTCTACGATGCTCTGGCTCACCAAAACGATTTATTTAGAATATTTTGTAATGATTTCTAAAATTTATTGTGAATAGTTTCTAAATTTTAAAATTTAGTGCATATAAAATATTAAACAATAATGCAAGTCTTTTTTGAAAAAAAAAAACACTAAAATTTGGTAGGTTTACAGATAATTGCACAAGATTTTAGTTATTAAATAAATTTAGGATTGGAGACTAAATATAAATTTCAGCTAACAGTAGTATTAGTTTTTCATTGAGTATCATTCCACCGTTTTACCCTGTTCTTAAAAAGTAACTGAATGCTTGAATTTTTTAAATAAAATTAATAACGGTTATATTTTAAACTAGCAACTGTCAAATTAAAGTAACTATGCATAGTAAACAACTAACTGGTAATACTATTTTCTAAAATATTTTCTAGACTTAAAATTTTACCTTGTAAATCCATATTTTTCAAATTAATATAATCATAATAACATTTCTTGAGTACATTTTGAGAGTATACATATGTCCACCAAATAAACACCATAAAGGTAAATAGAGTATTTCTCTGATATGACATTATTGGTTTTCTAAATTATTATCATTAAAATATATTAGATATTTAAATAATTTGATTGATTTACTAAAAAATATTTAATGTAAAAAATTAATTCACTAGATTTAAATAATTAAGTATAAGTATTTTCTTAATTGAAGACGTTACATTTATGTCAAATAATAATATAAATAAATTTTATTTGTATTATATTCTATTTATAAATAAACAATAATGAATAAAATTGCATTCATATTTTTCAAACCACTGGTTTTTTAACTTTAATTGTTGAATCCAAAACATTTACTATGTTTAAAATGAAATATACATACATATTGTATGATATTTCATACACACAATATTATAAGACAAGATTTCAAAAAACAGTAATTTTTATACAATAATATAAGAAATTGTTTTATTTTTTCTTATAATATTTTAAAACATTGGTGAAATCTGCATGGTAATGTTAATTTTATCTCAGGGAGTGCTAAGTAACCTAAGCACCATTCTTTTAGCACCTATGGGCCAGTTACCTTTTAAGCGGATGTGATGGTATATAAAACAAAATATATGTTCAAGTAGGCAATTTTATAATATTTTATTTGATATAGATTTAATAACCTAAGAATTCAACTGAAACAACACTAAACGTGTTAAAATAATTACAAAATAACATATAAAAAAACCTAAAATAATTGAATAAATTTACCTTGATATTGGTTTATCGTGTTTTTAAATGAGAGTAAAAATAGTTTAAAAAAGTTTAGTTGCTAAGCTTATTTTAAAACTGCTTCTGATAAATTATTTTCTGTTTTCTAACAATTCAGCAATGTTTAAGTTTTATATTATATTATTGTTTAAAATGATGCCATACGAATGAAATAAAAAAATACCACAAGTAAAATTAAACAAAGATTTCTATATACAGAATATCCTATGTTTATTCTTACAAATCCTATACTTTTTTAATGACTGTTGTCTGAGCCTCGTAGAAAACTCAGTATATGTGGTGCGATAATAATGGTGGGACTATAAAAATAAAGACTGCGATAATAACACATATACCATAAATAAATACAGAATTGAAGAACGTATTTTTGAAACATCTGGCCATTTTTCAAATAGAAATTAGAACATCATTATTCTTAAACGCTTTAAAAAATTAATATATCTCTCTAAAGGAAGACTAATGTGTGACTAAAAAAGTTGAATAAGATATAAATGCATTATAGATTATACTTTAATATTTATTACAGAATAAAAATTAGATGTTATATATAAATATATAGTCATTTTTTCGGAAACTATTTCGTATTCGGCTAATATTTCGGGATTAATTAATATTTGATTATTGGACGACACTTAAGTGTCGTAACTAGTTAAAAAAAGTAATGAAAATTAAGTTAGAGAAATTTTTTTGGGGGAAATCTGATAGTTTTTATAAGTAGTATTCTTTTAGCTTCGATGCGAAGCTGAGAAGGTATTGGTTTTACTATGATGTGTTTTTTTTTTTTTTTTTTTTTTTT